AGGTAAGGTGAGRATTTAACAAAGGCTTCCAAGTGCTTGAACATGAAGCCTGCTCTATTTTAGTGCCCCCTATTAAAGTGTGGACAGAAAAAATTGTCATACACTTTAAACTTACCCCTGGAAGACTAAATATTTTAACTCACGGTACTGCTGTCACTGACCTTTGCCTGCTGGTGTGGGTGATAGATTTGAGAAGCAGACGCTAGTGTTAGGTAGCATCTTATCCTAGCGCAGGGAAGGAGGAGGCAAATTCCATTTTTGTTTCTGTGGTATTAGCATATTCCCACATTCTTCACCACCTACCCCATAGCTGTCAGTCATACAGTGAGATATGCAAATGTGCTTCTACCATGCATAAGGCTATTTGGAATGGAGATTTTAAAAAATACAGTAGGTGGCAGAAGGTAAAATTGGCACTTGCTTTCATTGACATAAAGTTAATTTTCTATTGAAGATCCATGGTGTCGTTTAAGATTCCTGTGGTATCATGCATGCTTGGTATTAGGCAATCTTCCACAGTGGTGAAATAGGAGGTGAATGTGAAGTGTCCTCTTACATTTATATGTGAATTGGGAGTAATGTTCCAACACCAGGCTCATGTGATGTGTGATAATGAACCAGATCTACGTGCAATGGCTGTATTTAAGATGTTATCTAGTGCTTTTTTTTTTTTTTTTGCCTTGGGTCTCTTACAATCTTTCCATAAAAACAGTTCCTCGGCACTTACTCTGTTCACTGCAATGCTGAACATAGCAGAAATTATGGCTGTGTGGTGCAACACGCCATGTGTCTTTTTTCATGTAGAAATTGGAGAGATGTACCACGTGCCCAGATTTCTGAAAAGGCGTTTCACACTTGCAGAAGGTGAATGCTTTCCAAACCTGGAGCTCAGGAACCAGCATGTTAACCTCCCAGATGAAATCCCGGGAATACCCAAGCTTTTATCCCATTGCACCTGCATGCGATATGTTTTCATATCCTAAGCACAGATTTTGTCGTTCCAGTTTGTCCTGACCTTAGCAGGATGAGCAGGAGCCTGAGGATTGCTTTTTTAAGACCACTTCCCATTAATTCCGCATTACCTTGCTTTTCTGTGTTTAAATCTTAAACCCTTACTTAGAGRACCAAAGAAGGTTTAGCCACACAATTGCCATTTGACATGGGAAATTGAATGGCTAAGCCTCTGCATATATGTAATGCCTGTACAGTGCTGGGAACTTTGTATAATTATTCTTTTTTTACATTAAGCAACCAATTCCTGATTTGGGTACATATGTAGGTTCATCCTTTACCAATTTCCTGTGGCTGATAGTTTCCAGGAGATTAAAAGAATAGTTGGTTCCTGTTTTTTTTTTTCCTTTTTCTTTTCTTCTCTCTTCTCTTTATTTTTGTCCTTTAGCAAGAATATTTGTGCGTGTGTGTGTGTTTAATAGCATTCATTCCCTAGAGAATAATCTCGGTCCTTGTTTCAGCTGGCCTCCTTCTGAGAGTGTGTTAAATCTGTAGCCAAGATCAGAGGCAGCTCTGGGCAAATCATTGGGCTGTTATTAACCGGCCTCCATGGCAACTGCTGCTCACCAGCCTGAGGACAAAAAATGTTTTTATTCTGCTGAGTTGCACAAAAGGTTCTAGTGATGCCTTGCACAAAATGGCCATTGAAACGGGAGATGCGGTGATGTGGGTTTGTGCTGCACAGTTTGATATTCAAATCATTTTACACTGCAATGCTGGAAGTGGATCTGCAGAGGAAAACTTCAGTGTATTGGCCCCATGAAAAGCAAAAATGAACAAAGAACTGGAACTAAAGTTCTTTTTTAAAAATGCTGCTTACTTTTATTAGCCCTGTAAATATTTAGTTAACAAGCTGTCGGTCTGCAGTTGTCATCAGCGTATTATCAAATTATGTTGTAAAAATGAGTATTTAATAAGGAGACATGACCATAGGTTTTCAAGTGCACGCTATGAAGATGCTTGCTGATGTGGAGTTATGGAAAGATCATGAAGACTGCCTAGAAAGCTTAAATATTTGAAAGAAATACCCAATTTTCTTTCAATAGTAGTTTGAGAAGCTTGATAAGTATATCTTAGCGCCTGATGAACTTTTAATTTCAGCTGAACAATGTTTCTGGTTATTATCAGCTATATYGTTCAGGCTAGGCATGAGGCCCTATGTTCTTCACAAAGAATGTTCATGGTTTGGTCTAGGGCGGTGCATGAGGCTCTGCCCCACCATGCAGTTCTCCTTGGCCAGAATGGCTGTGCTCTAGTGTCAGTTTAYGGACAGAGTGACTATGTGACTGGATTATGTCTTTTGGAAACCTGCTGCCTTGAGATGATGCTTCATGTACTTGCAAGCTGACAGTGAACTATTTCCCTGTTTGCTCTTTGGACTTCTGGTTCCTCTTGATGCAAGAACAAACAGCTGCTGGAGTTCCCCATCTGAACATCTTTCTGTCTCACCCTAATAGTGCTGCTAATTTAGAAAGCTTTTTTGGGATGCTTTGTCAATGGTCTGCTCTGATACAGTGAGGAGCACCCAAAGACTTTAATTCCTTAAATAAATAAATAAATAAATAAATAAATAAATAAATAAATAAATAAATAAATACTTGTGCTGTAGAGTGCTTAGAAAGGATACAGACAGTAGAGCCAAGAGCCTGGTTGCTACTGCCTACAGCTTGGAAGGGGAAAGGGGTTGCAACAGGGATCTGTGGATTAATAGCACATATTGGAATCTCTGCAGATTAAATGACCTTGCAGATTCTCCCAGATGAGTGTCCTACATAAAGCAGGCTCTGCATTGTGGATACCTGTCAATGGGCATGCAGTTGCAGAGATGTTAATCTTGAATTCCGTATTTTATAGATTTTTAGTCAATCAGACTGAAGCTTTTCTTCCAGACCAGGCCAGTTTCTTCATTTTGCTTCCACCTGTTTTTATATCCCATCTCTGATGGGATCCTTTGGATCAGTGTGATCAGGATTAGGATGAACCTCCACACCAACTGACCTGGTGTTTAGTTACCTTCTTCTTTAGGAGTAGGACTTGAAGGACCTTTATGTGCTGGGCTGTGACCACGTGCATGTGAAGTGTGTTCTGTTTGATCAGATCCTTGCTATACTCTGATAGACCTTTGTGGTTAATCCTGTACCAGGTGCAAGACTAGGTTAACTCTAGAGATTTCCTGGGTTAACTCCTAGAGATTTCATCCAGATCGGGCAGCAGAGGCAGAGGTGCATGAGATAACCTTGTGTCTGAGGTGACTTGTGAGCAAAGTTTCCATGTGGGCAAACACCCGAGACTGCCACAACAAGGGCTGCCAGGTTTAGTGTCTGAACTTGACCTGGACCTCTGTGACAAGACGGACACCAGAGACAGCTCCCTCTGACAGCGCTCATTTCTATTTTGTTTGCCGTGCTCTGTCCCCACCACATCCCAAGCTGCAGTATTTGTTCATTTTGCAGTATTTTTGTCATGAAGATAGTTCTTACTGAGTGGATTCCAGCTGGGGGTTTGTCTGTAAAAGCTTCCTAGGCTTGTTTCCATACAATTAGATCTTGTCTACACTTAGTGAAGTGGCATTTCATAAGTCATTTCGGTGGTGATAGCTGTTCAAGCCTGATTGGGACACTTGCTAGTGACTTTCTAAAATGAGAGTTTTACATTTCCGAAATGGGAAAGCTTTCAATTACTGCGTGTGTTTTATTCCCCAGTGCTTCATGGAAGTGCCGGCTCTGTAAGTCATTCATTAGTGGGAAAGTGAGGAGGATAAAAATAACCTTGCCTCACTTGATGGATGGTGTCTTGCTGATCTTCACTTGGAATTCCTGGGACAGGAAGCACGATGTACGCGCTCGCCAGCTGCCTCCATACGTTCAAACGGTTTATTCATTTAACGCCTTCTATTAGGAAAAACAGACTGTTTCTGCTCTCTGCTACACTGGTAGTTCCATTAAGCAGTAGCTTAATGGCTTATGTTTTGCACAGTTGTATGAAATGTGCATTAATGGAGACAGCTTTATGCCATCACCCTGAAGTAATGAATTGGTATGGATTGCCATTACCATTATAACACAGTTAAAAGCTGTGTTTGTTTCCGATTTACATTTCCCAGCTCTGCAAGCAGATGGATTTTTGGGCAGAGCAGTCAGGAGGAATTGGATAATTCTGTTGCAACTATCTTTTTACAGTGTTTGTTGAGCAGCGGTTCTGGAGTTTGGTTTGTGTTTTGTTAACTCAGACGATTTAAACCATACATTTAATCCAAACTTTGACTGTGCTACCACAGACTGTATTCTGAGATCATGGTAAATCCATTACATCCTATAAAATGGGAAATATATGGTGTGTGCAATACAGCTTTTCACTGTTGTTATTAGCATGTTGTCTTTGCCACTCTTTGGCCTCTACTCAACTTTCTTGTTATTTAAATATCTAAGTTGATATAAGATTATAAGCATATATACAGAAAGGTACGCAGCAGCTATGAATAAGTGCAGAGCAGCAAAGTTTTGCACATCTAAATGTACTCCTCTTTCAATGAATGTGCAAAATTATCTTGATTTTATCCAGAAGGCTTCATTGTCTTGAGTATTTGCTTCTTTGGCTTGTGGCTCCGGYGTACCTGGTGCTCGTGTTGCTAATTTGAGTAACTCTGCAGTGTGGTGAGCTCTCTATCAGCAGCTGAATCACAATGGATCACTTTAGACAAGTGATTTTCCCTTTTTCCATTTCATAGGCTGTCTCATTGATCTCCTCTTGCCCATAAAGGCAGGAGCACTCAGCCCCACTGTCTAGGCGTCAGGCTYACACCAGCAGATCTGTAGGTCACTGCTTCAGAGGGTGGCTCTTTCTTGCACCATCTATAGATTTCCACTTAGCAAGTCCATCTCCTGCTATTTTAGGCCCTGCTGCTTTTGCCACGTGAAGAATGAATATTCTTGTCCTCCTAATTTGCTCGTCGCTTACGCTGTTTGCTTTGCTGTCTYCCTTCTGCCCAGGTTGCTTTGAATGTTGCATTAAGTGCCTGGGAGGTGTTCCCTATGCCTCGCTGGTGGCCACCATCCTCTGCTTCTCGGGGGTCGCGCTGTTCTGCGGCTGCGGCCACGTGGCGCTCACGGGAACCGTCTCCATCCTCGAGCAGCACTTCTCCACAAATGCCAGCGACCATGCTTTGCTGAGCGAAGTGTAAGTATGCCCCCCGTTCCCCTGTTTCGTGAAGGAGAGGCATCAAAGCACCCTTGGACTGGAAGTGGACGGAGATGGAGTCAAAGCTCAGCCTCCAGTCCTGGATATTGTTGTCTGTCTTGGTGTTTCTCAGYGTGCACACACGGAGAACCAGTGTGTGTTCTCCCTGACCTGTTCGTATTCGTGACATTGGTTCTCGGAGACCCTTATAACACCTGCATTGTGGCTACTGTTCCCAAGTTGTGCCCAGTCTTCTTCAGAAAGCAAAGTTACACCCAGAACCAGGAAACTGTTTTACATACAGAGCAGCCCCACATTTAAATTAGGTTTCATGGTAAGTTTGATGGAGGCTGGAGGTGTCACAGTTCCTATTCGCAAGAGTGTAGGGGAGCAATCCTGACTCTGACTAGAACAAATAAAGAAATAGTATTGATTGGGGAACACACACTGTGTAGGAATAATAGGAAGAACTGGAAAGAGTTGTTCTGAGCATTCCCTCCTCAGAATAAGGGGGACTGCTGTGCAACGGACAGAAGAAGGGCAGAGAGAAGTCTAGAAAGAGCTTAAAATCTCATCTTTACTACTATAGTCTTCAGAAATAAATGCCAGCGCATACTAGTAGCTTTCATGTTCCCAAGGTTTCTCAGTGAAAACAGAATCATAGAATCCTTAAGGCTGGAAGGGACCTTTAGAGATCACCCAGTCCAACCCCCCTGCACAGAGGGTCACCTACAGCACGGGGCAGAGGGCGGCATCCAGGTGGGTTTTGAAGATCTTCAGAGAAGGAGACTCCACAACCTCTCTGGGCAGCCTGTTCCAGGGCTCTGTCACCCTCACTGTTAAGAAATTTGTCTCCTTAAGTTCCTGTGGAACTTTTGGTGCTTCAGTTTGTGGCCCTTTTCTCTAGTTCCGTTACTGGTCACCATTGAAAGGAGAAAGGAGCTGCGGAAATGGCAGGAATCTCTGAGCCACAGGAATACCCCTGCACAGAGGCTGCTGTCGGCATTCTGCTCCCATGGGATGAAGCCCTTATTTCCCTTAGCGTTGAGGACCCGCAGGGACAAGTGTCCCAGTTCTTGGCACCGGTGCCAGGCTTTCCCTCTCCTGGGGTGTTAGCGCCCTGCGCTGACCTCGCTCGCTGTAGAAAAGGTAGGTGGCACAAGGGGCCTTTACGTGAGCAGTTTCACGCTGGCACCAGGAGCAGGACACTCACTAGCACAGAGCTCCAAAGCAGCTGGGGTTGCAAGCCCCACGTGCGGCCACCCCCACGGGGCTGCGCTCGCCCTGGGGAAGGAGCGAGGGGGAGCAGGACTGCTGAGGACAGGAAAACGAATCCCCTTATTCATCTATTTTTATTACTTTTACTCTTTTTCCAAATGATGCTGAAATTCTTTTCATGCTGTGCAGCGCAGGTGTTATTTTTAATTATTTTGGAAAAATAAACATATCTGCTACTTAAATATATATTTAAATGAGCAATATCCTATTTTGATATAAGGGGTGTACTAGTATGTCTGGATAACATTATCTGTATAAGTGGGTAGTCATCATTTTTCTTTAAATTAAGATAAAACACGCAGATGGTCCTTGCCGATGTGTGCCGCCAAGGTCATTAGGGGAGTATGGTAAGAATTGAGTAAGCATCTGAAGGGAGAAAATGTATCATTAAAGATCTGGCAGCATGGATGACTAAATTTTTTTTTTTTTTTTTTTTTTTTTTTGTGCTCTGTAAGTAGCTTCATCCAAAACAAAACAAACAAACAAAAAGCCCACAAACCAAACAGTCTAATTCTATTTAAAAAAAAAAAATCTTTTTTTTGATAGCTTTTTGCTTATAACAGAGTGTTGTTTTGGAGACTAGAACAAATGGTGTGTGGAAGATTYGGGATGCTGGTCTTCCAAAACAGTCAAGTTCAGAGGCTGAATTGGATTAATGATATTTAGTGATGATTCTTTTCCTTTATCTCTTCTAGCCAGAATAAAACTGCCATGGGAATGTCGGTGTAGAGGGTAGATTTTGAGAGATTCAAGAACCTTCTCAAGTAACATCCAAGAGAAGGGACATTATGCCAGGGGTCTTGTTTCCCTCTATGTCTTAAGTCCTAGATTAACTCAAACTGAAAGATTTCCTAAATATTTCTGTCAAATTAAAAACAAAACCAAACAGGAAAAAAAAAGTACTTTGGGTCATGTCTTGGGGAGTTCAATACTGCTATGACATAAGAAACTGAAAATATCTGCACACCTGGAGCACACCCAAGATGATGGAGCAAAATGTTCTTTCTGGAAAAGAAGTCTTATCAACATCTGCTGGGTTTTGTATCTATCAAATGTCACTGAATTTACCGAGCGTTGCAAACATACATTAACTAGATTTTCTGGAAACAGTGAATATTGGAGATTACTTTGCTCTCTGTCGGATAGTTCAGCTCTGCTCCAGCCTTTGCCGAGTTTTCCCTATATTGCTCCTATCAAACCTTGAATGAGAGAGTTGTCAGGATGAGAAATAGGGAAAGAAACATCTCCATAGCGGGGACATGGCATTGAGGCCCGAGGCTGGTGACTAGTATCAAGTCAGCATAAGAACAGCAACACAAGCCAGGGGTGCTGGAGCAGATGCAAGACTAATGCACACCAGCATCGCTCACCTGGGAAGGGGCCCAGCTCTACCAGCAGTCTCTCTTGTGGCCCATGCATTTAAAATGGATTAGAGAGCCTTGGACTGTCTTTATGGAAAATGATTTATCTCATACCTGTTGTGATTGGAGAAGACTCGCTTCGCTTTAATGGGACTGAAACCTAATTACATCTTCATTTGTTTTCTTTTCCATTTTAGAATACARCTAATGCAGTATGTAATTTACGGCATTGCATCGTTTTTCTTCTTGTATGGAATAATCCTTTTGGCAGAAGGTTTTTACACAACCAGCGCTGTGAAGGAGCTGCATGGGGAGTTCAAGACGACAGCCTGCGGCCGCTGCATCAGCGGGATGGTGAGTAGCTTTAGCCATGGAAAGGGCGGTCCTGCCTGGCTAACAGCCCTTGTGCTGTTTGAGCCTCTCATGCTGSTTTTGAACCACAGGATATCTCTGCCTGCGCTTCTTAAATTCCTGAAGGGTGGTCAGAGCCCATCCCTGTTGCTGCTCTTCCTTTGAACTGTGAGGACAAATCCAGTCACACCCACAGTTCTAAACCAGCCTGGTGACAGCTGCTGACTTTAAGATGCTCCGTGTGAGATGGAATTAAATTTATACTTTTAAACATGGAGAGCACTAATGGCGCATAAAGGTCGACTCTGGTATGGTTGTGGTTTGCAGGCTCATTTAATAACAGGGTAACAGGGTGTAAGGTGACTTCCATGGTCAGTTCTGCTTGAGGATGGCCGGCTCCTTCAGACCTTAATGAACGAAGCTTCACAACATCTTTGTGCTYGAGTCAAGTATTGCTGCCCTGCTTTTGCAGATGGGACATCAAGGTACACAGAAAAAATAATGAGTCTGTTTCAATAAACCAAAGCGCTTAAAGCCTTCATGTTGCAGGCCATCTTTCCTCCTATCTACTTTCGCATTAGGACAAAATTTTAAACAAAGTTTAACTAAAAATAAAACTTCAGATTCTCACCCACATTGCCCCCTAGGGCGTATTCTACAAGAACAGAAATATAGCTGTGTCTCTGAGACAGGATTTCAAAGCTATTTCTGAAAATCTGAATTCAGAGCTCGTAGTTATGGAGGAAGCTAAGCAGTATGACAGATCGCCCACGGGAAAGTGTGGGAGAGAAGAGGCTTTTGATGTGATTGTTGCATTTTAATATACAACTTACATCCTGTACTTAAAAAAAATATATATATATTTTCAGCTGGTTAAATGAAAAGGCGATGCATGTTTATTTTCAAGAGGGATAACAATTTTCCACTGTGCTGCTCGGGGATGCTGGATACGTACTGAATTTTTTAAGAGCTAATAAAAATAAGACACATGATCATTTTCAAGTTAAGCAGCTATTCTACCACTCTTCTTTGTTCCTGGAAAGTATGATCCTCATTGAGGAACAAAATTATATCTAAATCCATCCTTTCCAAAGATCAGCAACACAGTAGACACACGCACATATGTGCATCCCATTAGTGCCGATAATTGTTTGTGCAGCCGAGTGGTTGCAGACTCATGACTGTCAGCCTGCTCATACAAATACCAGGGTGATGCATGGAAATATGCCACAAAATGTGTTTTTTCTTCTTTTTTTAATGTATTTTTTTAGGAGAGAGTTTAGGAATTGAGTAATGGCTTGGAGCTAGAAAGAGGCATCAGTGGTTGGTGGCGACAGTCATGGCCATTAGAAATGCCTTCTATGCAGCCTTCTAACTTTCCTATATCATTTTTGATGGCTGTGATGATGCAGAATATTTCCAACAGTTATCTGTAGTAAATGTGAGAGAGGTTRTGTATATTTCTTAGCTGTCCTCGAAGAGACAGGGGTTCATATTCTTCTTCCCATGAACACTTTTGCACATGCAAAAATGTAGAAATCCTTTAAATTGGCCCACTTGGTCCTTACCAAAATCCACCRATTCTTCTGGATAGTGCCATATTCTGCTATGTGGCACTATCTAATAAAGAGTAAGGCATTTCTTCAGTTCAGTTGTGCTTAAATACATGACTAGCAGCGTTATTTTGTGTTTGTGTTATTTTTGCAAATACCTCTAACTCCCTCCCCAACATACCACATGCCACCTTATTTAACTGTAAAATATAACCCACCAATTGCTCCAAGTTTGGTACAGTATTTCCAGTGTCATTTAGTAGTCTGGATAAAATCTGATGACAATAGAAACTTCCACCTCTGCAAAATGTGTTCAGTCCTTCAGCATTGCTGCCAAGCTGAGCAAATCTTCCCCTTGAGAACTTTTTCTGAGCTCACTATTAGTTTTTTTGGCACATAAGCTTTAAACAAGATTGGAGAGTTGCAGGAATAGTCATCGATAGTATACAAAGTAAAAGCTCTAWGGGAATGTACAGTTAAATAAGCAGCACGGAAAATGGAACATACAGCATGGGACAGCATTCCTGCACCCTGCGATCCCTGCAAAGAGGTAAAAGGAARGAAGTCCAGTGAGAGGGGCAAGTCGGAGATTTCCAACGCAGTGAGTGTCATGCATTATAACCTTGCTGGAGAAAATGCGCTTAACTGTTTTATAAAAGGTAAACTGGCAAATTTCCATGGAAAAATCTGTGATGCTTTAAAGTGAAGTAACCAAAACTAATTTTCTCTTAGSCAATGTATATTAGATAGTTAAAGCTTTCAGTTGTGCTATGATGAACATGGTACGCCTTTAAAAATAGGGATTCTCCAACGTTACATTCAAAAATGATTACACAAATCAGGGAGAACAGGAGGGCTTTGTGGATATCGATTCCTCTCTTGTTTTGACTTGCTAGCTGTATAGAGATGCTAGTATCTTTATACTTGATTTTGCAGTCATTTAATTTTACAGTTAAAATCTTTAATTGATTTTTGTAGGTGTTCTATTGGTTTTAGCCTCCAATCAGAATTCCTAGATAGCTGAAAATCTTGGGGAAGTCATAATTTCTCCTTCAGGATGATGGGGCCACTGCTTTTATTTGTGCATGGGTATTAACTTTTCTATACCATAATTTCTGAATGTGCACTTAGAGGTTATTTTAAGGTATTTTTAAGGCATATTCAAGTATTCCTTCCAGGGAAAAGAACGTGAGATGCGTCTGTTTTCTCTGCACAGTTTGTTTTCCTCACCTATGTGCTGGGAGTGGCCTGGCTCGGGGTCTTTGGCTTCTCTGCTGTGCCTGTCTTTATGTTCTATAACATATGGTCAACTTGCGAAGCCATCAAAACGCTTCAGACGAATATGACGGTTCCAGGGGACCAGATCTGCGTGGATATCAGGCAATACGGTACTTATTTTAATCCTGATTAAATGCTTTATCCTCTCTCCCCAGTCTAGCTTCAGTAGTTCTGTTTCACCCATATCAGATGAACCTAATGCAACAGCGTCTACTAGCTCTGTACATGCTATTACTTTTCTAATTAATTCAGATTACATTGATCTCCTTCCAGATGCAATCAATTTGAACTGGCAAGTCATTTATCTTAAATGATTTTGTAGCGGTTTCCAGTGCTATAATATTAGGTTTAAAAATAGTTCAGCCTCAAAATAAACTGCTTAGAAACAGAGCTAAGAAATAGATAACCAGATTCTGCTCTTTGAACCCACTTCTTTTACAAATATCCCCTTAAAAAAAAAAAAAAAAAAGCTGTTTTAAATATGAAGTCAATATAATTTTGCTGTAATCAAACACTTTTGGTTAAAAAACACCCAAAATCTGCAATTAAGACTCTGCATCAAATATTAATGCATTATTAATTACACTCATTAATATTTGAGGAAGACTCCTGATTGCAGGTTTTGGCTTCCTAATGACATGTAAAAATCTGAAGGGAAATGCAGTAGCAGAGGAGTGCAAAAATAACAAAATATCATCAAGTTTTTCAAATGGTTCAGTGCTTACGGTGAATTTTTCCTTAAGTTAATCTTTTCAGCTTCCCTTGTGCAGAAAAGCTTGTGCCTTCATTACTTTTGGCTTAAGTTCAGCTAGGCTTTCCTAAGAAAAAACTAAGTCAGTCAACCTCTCTGGAGTAATTTGTTCAAAAGTGCGACACTGTTTCAGAGTTGAAGAAGGAAGATGGCTTGGATTTTGCTTTCCAATCCAGGATTTACATGCAATATGAAAAGCTGAGATGCCTTAAAAGCAAAGCAGCCCAAATCGGTTGAACAGCAGCTTCTTAACAGAGTCCCTGAGCTACCCTTGTGGTGGTGGCAGCTCTAACTCAGTGGCTTCAAGTGTATTTTGAACATGCAGAGAAACTGTCTTTGAAGTAAATCCTAAAATACCTTTTTGAAAGCTGAAATGATCTGTCCCTTACACAGCTGCTAACGTCAACCAGCTGCATTTGGACAGCAGGGTATACTGAGGAGACTGTTGGTTTTTCTCTTTCAAGGCGTGACTTCCTCTTGTGTTTTACATCTATTACAGGCCTAAAAGTTTAGGTTATTCTAAACTTTCTAGATCCCATCTAGTCCTTACATTTTCAATCAGATCAGAAAAGTAATTGAARGGACATGAGGTATGGCAGGACAAATTTTCTTGGAGCAGTGTTCCAAGAAAGCTCATGCTTTCTTACCTACTGGAACTAAAACAGAAAATAAAGTCCTTTAGTACTAAATTATTTCCTCTGGCTCCATATTCACACTCCCCTACAGTAGTTGCTTGCTCAAGTAGAACTTAATCTAGTAAAGAATCGCATATCAAGTACAATCCTGAAAGGTGCCAAGTATCGGAGATGCAGATTATCCCTTTCAATTACGAGTGGGCGAGTGGAGTAGTCGGTGTGTGACGGGACCCGGAGCGCAGAAAAACAACCATTTGGCTGCCATATGGGAAAACCACATCTGAGAACATACCCTGGCAGCAAGCCTTGGTATAAGGAGCAGGCACAAATGGGAGTGAGTTGCTTTAATTCCTGCTGCCAACGCAAAGCTGCGCTGCTCAACRTGGCCGTTCACAGAAGCGGGGCGCGAGGTGGGGAAGACCGGGAGAGGGGGCAGGAATGAGGGGTTTCTTTCCSTCTGGTCTTTCAGGCATCATCCCGTGGAATGCGGTGCCGGGCAAGGCGTGCGGGCCCATCCTGGAGAACATCTGCAACACGAACGAGGTACCCAGGCACAACCGGCCTGCAGGCCCTGCCTCCCGGTGGCGCAGGCACAGAGTACCCCCCAATGCCTACACGTTTTTCACATTCTCCTTTATTTTTCCCCCTTAGTTCTACATGTCTTATCACCTGTTCATTGTGGCCTGTGCTGGAGCTGGTGCCACTGTCATAGCACTGGTAGGTGGCATTTTTGGTGGTGTTTTTACGTAACACGTTCCTTCCAGGTTTAGGGGTATTTTACAGTTAAATTCTGTGCATCTTAAAAATAGTAGTACTGCCGATTAAGGAGAGCAAGCGAAGTCCAGCTTAGTTGCTTGGACACTGACTGTGGTTTTCTAACCGTAGGAGCTGTAACAAGGTCTAACTGCAAAAGAAATTAAAAAAAAAAAAAAAAATAAAGCTTGGTAATTCGCTGCAAACTTTCAACTTGTCTGAACTCCTCTTTTTGTAGCAAAGTTTTTACCAAGTTTTGGTCTTCACAGTTCAGAAGGTCCCAGGCTTTTACCTTAAATTCTTTTTAACTCACTTCTTCCATCCTCAGGAAAAAAAAAAAAAAAAAAAAAAAAACTTTATATCTTCCTTGAAAATCCTGTCTTTGCAGTTTTTATAGTCAAATTATTTCTTTTCATTTTTGTAGTTTAGAAGTGATCAGTAGCTTGTAACCGCCTGTTCTTCCTGTCTGGGCCCAGGCAATGTGACTAGTCCAGGTCTGCAGTGCCAGTGAAGGCAGCAGTTGGGGAAAGGGACGGTGACCCTCCGGTGTCTAACACTTGCTCTAGTCACCAGATTCTAACCTATTGTCAGCCCAAAGCAGGTGTAAGATTCACTATTCTTGACCAGATAATTTAGGCCTGCTTGTAGACTGTGCTTAAAGGTAAATGGCAAAATACTGACCTTGCATCTCTGTCCTGGAAGCAGCTCGGAATAACCTCTGTTGTAGTTATCAAAAACTGCCCAAGKGGGCTTGGGCCGTCAACTTTTTGTATCTTACTATCCTGTATTTTGTTCTCTTCCACCAGCTGATCTACATGATGGCTACTACATATAACTATGCTGTTTTGAAGTTTAAGAGTCGGGAAGATTGCTGCACTAAATTCTAAATTGTATAAGCCCAGTAAAGAGCTGCATTGCGTAGCTTGAAATACCACTGACACCCTAGGCTAAAAGTCTAGCTTTTTGAATTTTGTTACAGTAACTGTAAATAGCTTCAGTAAGCGCCATTTAGCTCATCAGATTAATCAAATGATTTCTTGTATATGAACTATGATGTGGATGAGATCTGGCTATTTGTTCACGTTGAGAGGACTCAGTTACTCTAGGGCTGTTATAAAYGATCCTTTCGAGGATGGGATGTGTTCAGGTAAAAATCTCTGCTCGCTTCTAACCATCATCTCTCTCTAAAACAAAACTGGAACAGTTCAGGGTCAGAGTTACTAGTTTGTTCTTCTTTGTCCTGAACACCAATACAAGAAGCGKGGAGCATGCAATGGATATGAAATGAAAATTATCAAAAATCAARGTAATGCCAATATCTTTTGGCAAAGCCCAGGGACTGTGAATCTCTTGGCCCCTGTTTTTGGTGTATGGATGATAAAACTGATTTATTGTTTTACTTAAAACTTATTTTTCAAGTGATTGCCAAATCATGCTCTCTYTGGAAAAAATATGTCCTTCTACTAGCTCTGCGTAAAACAATCACCTTCTTTTGAAGCCCAGAATAGTAAGAAGCTGTGTTTAGATAACTTCAATTTCTGCACGGCTTGGACTTTAGTAACTGATTTCTCAGTAGCCAGATCTCAAAAATGTAAGTATGATTACAAGGGAAGTAAAACCATGCATAGATCAGTGACGTTTGTACAATGGTGAAAAAGGAGCGGTGAACCAGTGTTTTCAGATGTAGATTTCTTTTGCATGAAGTATGCTGAAAAGAAGGTGGAAAAGAGATGTATTCACTTCACAAACTAGAGGAAAAAAAATGCAACAAAAGACCCACCAATTTCTATACTTGGTATGAAACTTAAAAAGTTAGACAATGGGCATTTAAAATGTAGTTATAAAAATACATTATTAAGATTTCTTTAACTCAGAGATTGCATGCTTTTGCTTAATTTTGGACTCATGTTTTGTTGTTTAATTTTTCAATATGTTAATGTAGCTTTGTTCACATAAATAAAACTGTTTACAATTTTATTCTTTTTTGGGGGTGGGGGCAGAATTCTCATCTGCTTGTTGGGGAAAACGAGAGGTAGCAGATTCTGTGCCTGTATATACAGAAACACCACAACCTTAGCAAGCGGTTCTTCTGAGCACCTTTTCGTTTACACATTATAAAAATTGCCACGTGCAAAACATTTGKTTTTTTTCTCCTTTTCCCCTGTTCTGCATTTCAATTGATCAGTAAAACTCTAGCTCACTTTTTATTACTTCTACTAACTTTGTCTAATTGTTAAATAACCAACTTAAATAGTAGCATGCAAAATCCTAGAGCTCATTGGAAGTAGCCCCCGTGCTTGTTTTGGTAACAGAATGCTTATTAACGTAGAGTAACTTTTGGTTATGAATTTAAAGTGTCTATTAATCTAACTAGCAGCTTGCTTTGCCTCTTGACATGCTCACTAGCCATCATGCTCACCCTTCTCTTCCAGATCCACTTCCTCATGATACTGTCCTCTAACTGGGCCTACTTAAAGGATGCAAGCAAAATGCAGGCCTACCAGGATATCAAAGCAAAAGAAGAGCAGGAGCTTCAGGACATCCAGTCTCGGTCCAAAGAGCAACTCAATTCTTTCACATAAATGTTTGCCACAGTAATTGAGCAGAAGAATTCGGTAGCTCTGACAAATCAGCAACTAGCTGCTCTGCAGTACAGATAYGTGTCTACCAAACAAAATAATGCAGAAGTGCAAACGCTTCAAATTCCAACTCCTGGGAACATGTACATAGGGAACGCTTCCCGTGGGTAATCTTCCATCCTTTAATACAGAGAATGGAGGGTTTAGTCCAGGCATTTTAAAAGGCAACACTTCACAACTAGCGACCAAATTATTCTTCCTTACAACTTTGGGTATTTGCTATGTCCAAGCAGCTGGGGGGGAGTCCAAACCAGCAAGCAGTAGATCTTTGTGCAGAGCCTTTACAAAGGCACATGCACAATGTGCGATTTAGTCTCAATTTACATACCAAATGAAACTGTGGCTAGCTCAAGGTTTTAATTGCTTGTGCTCACTTGACAGCACAGTTGCAGTATCTACCAGAGTACTAAGTCATCACCAGGGCAGTCTCTGGCCTCTCTTTAACTGGGCCACAGGAACAGCAATCTACTTTCGTGCCACTTTTTTTTATGAAGAAGCAGTCACTCTACTGTGCTTACAGGAGTGTYGAACATACATCCCAAGTTTTAATCTTTTTATTAACTATTTAATGGAATGTAGATCCTTGGATCTGGATAATGATCCCCTTCTTTGAAAATAAATGTCAGCTTTGCCTTAATATTTATTTTCTATAAATGTCTTAGCATTTATATAGCAGCAGGAGACCATTATCCTACATTTTAAGTGGAAAGTGTTACCTTATTAAAATGACACCAATTTAACTGCTCCAAATGAGCAGAGGAGTAATTTTGTAGAGTTTTACACAAACAATAAAAAAAAAAAAAAAAAATTACAGCCATAAAGCAGAATACAGGATGTCCACCTTTCTCTATCTTGGTGCTTAGCAAATTTATAGTCAGTGCTTACGTGTTTTCCTTTTTACAAGTTAACTACAACATTAAGAAAATGTGGTGTTCAGAAAAAAAAATAAAAAGGTGCCATTTTAAAGTCATTTCCCATAGAAGTCTGCCTTCTAATTAACGTTTTTTTCAGATGCATTCAGTGATATCTTGATATTAGTGATGGTATATTTGGTGTTTGTTCTATATGATATATCTATAAATGTCAGGAGAAGAGTAAAATACATCAGTCATTTGAAAAACTAAATATATAAGTCATACCCATGTTAAGCTGACGTGTGGTTTGATAGTTTTGACTGTTTGCTGAATATAAATAAAAGGAAGCACAAGTTTCTTCAAGTCAGTATTAAATGAAAAGACATTGGAGGGTTATTTAACATCAAATATGTTTTGTTTTTCTTTATTAAATATTGAAGTCTAATTTGACAGTTTCAAAACAAGGGGCAAAGTTGATCAATGTAGAGCAAATATGACAAAATAGCCTAGTGTTTGTTCTTACCTGTTGCATGAAGGAGACATTTCTACAGCAACGCAGGTGACGTTCTAGCCCAGTGTTTGCATAAGGGTAATAATGGAGACAGTGTCTTAAAGCCTAATTCTTTTCTAATTCAGTGTAGCTATTACTGGGAGTTTTTGAAGTTTTGTTTAAGTAGTCTAATATTTTTATGTAAAGAGCATTAAATTTTGCTATGTATAAATTTTTGTAACCTAACAGTGAATCAATATTTTCTATCAGTGCCAAGGGCTTCCTGTAGTTACATCCAAGTGTTAAAATAAATATTTGTAGATAATAGACAACACTTGTGTATGCTTATTTGAAAACAAACTGACAGCTACTCTAATACTGGTGCATCTCTATGCTCTACATCTCTATCTTAAGACGTTCAACACATTTTGTTCAGTAGGATCCATTTGACAATGTGCTGGGAAAGGAGGCCCTGTAGGTGCAAGCTTCAATAGGGGGGAGCCAGCTGAATGCTTTTCCAGCACCAAGTTTTGATAGTTGCTCCAGGCCAGCATAATGCAACGAGTGCTACCATCCTGGTCTTGACCTCAAAGAGAAAAAGCCTCTTAGACACCTTGTAAATTCCAAATTTGCTGCAACACCAAATTAAGCAGCGTGTAAAACTGGACTAGCCACCAAAGACTCTTAATCTTTTTCAGAAAAAAAAAGAAAAGTTTATTTCTGTCACATTTTTAATACACAGCATTTCAACATCCAGTAAATTTGAGATGGAGTTTGAGTTTTTGCCCCTAAATTCTGTCAAACTTGGCTTCATGTTCTTGTACTTAGGTCAGGATGAGCAGCTGCAAATGCAGTGTGAGTTGTACTATATGCTGCCAACTGCAATTACTTCATTGATTAGAAATACTGTATTTTATATTGTAAATAAAGTTTAATGATCTTGCCTATAATCTACCTACAAAATACAAAGCTTAAATAAAGAGGAGTTCAAGAGCACTTTCATTTGAATCTCTCCCTTTTGGACCGGTTAAAACAAAAAAAACAAAAACAAAACAAAACAAAACAAACAAAAAAAAACAATGCTTGAAATAAAGCTGCTTTTAGAGGTGTTTTGTTTCCCTTAAAACAGGGGTGAAGGTCCCCCTTTCCTTTCGTTCTGTCACACTCTGCTCTTAAAATGCACCAGCCAAGGTTCTCCCAAGAGTACCTTTAAGAACAAGCAATACCTGAAGTTCTTATAGTACTTAGGCTGTTGCTTTGACCTACTATCTGTAATACAGAATGGGGAGAGGGGAGGGCAAACACCACTTCAAAAGCTGTCAAACTAGAGAAACTCAATGTCAAACCAATTTACCTGASTGTACCCATCTGTCGCTCGCTGCTGCTTTGCCCCTCACCTCACCACACTCCAAGGACAGGCATCGCTATGAACTAACAAGGCACCTAGAATCACTCTTGAACTTCCATGACTGATGTGATGAGACAGCTCCTATTATCTTTGTGTATTATAAGGATACAGCTTGTGATCCTTGTGTAGGCTGTAACAGTGCACACAGCTCCACTTACTTACAGCTAGAAAGCCAGTCAGAAAAAAGAAAAAAAAAATAAAGAAAGTATCAATAGCTGCTGGTCACCAGAAACTGTCATCAGCCTCTCCTTGAGAAACGCCCGCAGCACTGTATTTGAGAGAGGAAGAAAAAAAACATAACAGGATTGGTATGAATCCAAAGTACTTGATCTTAAATATACATACTTCTTTTAAAGAGGAACTTGAATTTCCAGGCAAATAAAAAGATTTGACAGAGAATGAAACTCAAAAAAACTATATATAATCTTCCCTGACTGAAAACTATATATCCTCCCTATTGGTTTCTCAAGATAATCACAGCTAATGGACTAAGCTTAGCACAAGTTGCGAAAAAGCTCTCTGAGAAGAAGCGTGTAAATTAGTCTGTGTCTGTGCTGCTAAATCAATGCTGGATTCAATGCTAATAAAAGACTACAAGCAACCTGCAGCACTAACCCATTTTGGTCATTGCCTTGGGAGACTCCCTGATACTTCAGTTCACTGAAGGAATTGAGGTGCTGCTSTACTGCAGGTGTAAAGTTTTAACTGCACTTCTTGGAACATCACTGAATGGAGCTCCTAGATTGTAATTCCATGCAATGCATGGAAAGTTACTTTCCCCTCTATGAGAATTGGAAAGGTTGTTACTTTTTCAAGATATTTGCTTTTCATTACAGGTTCATTTAACTTGTTTTTTATTTATAAATATTCATCCTATTTATAAGGAGTAATAGATGTGATTAATAATACCTTAATGCCTCACCTATCATCTTTTTCACTAGATACAAGTCCTTCTGTAAGTGATAGTTCTTCCATTTCTTCTTTTTTTGAATCCTGGAAGTGAAGAAGAAAATATACTTTCTGTAACTGGTTCTTACATCTAATTTTATCAGTGACTCCAGTAACAGGATCTGTAGTTTAAGACAGCTTATTGAATCAGCTTATTAAATGCAGGCTACTAAAATTGAAAACATTAAAATTCAGTGTTTTAATAAGTAACAAAACACAGCATAGCTGAACAAAAAAACTTATCCAAGAAAATTACATTTTTTTCCTTTTGCACTAATAGATTTCTTCAACACAAATCCAATCATTCACCTCAGGAGTTTTTTTAATTAACCTTCTGAATGAAGAAGAAAAAATACAATATTGCTTTCATACTAAACATATTTAACAGCAAACCAATTTAAAGAATTGATTTTTGAGGGATCTAGTTTTGAAATAATTACCTTGTTGGCCAGTTCCTGCTCTCTTCTCTGCTGAATTATTTTCATGTATTTTTCTAATGGATTCGGAGAAGAACCCCTTATGTTATCTCCAGCACCAGAATTACTGTTTTCAATTTTTGACTCGTCTTCTTTTTCTTCATCTGTTTTCATCAAGTCTTGGATACACTTCAGGACACAAAGTTATAATTAAATATTTATCAGCTCAAGAAAAGTATTTACAGGTTGTAACAAATACAGAACTTCATATTAAATTCAGTAAAATATGCCAGTTGTCATTGAACTTCTTGCATTCAGTTAAAGATGAAMTAAGTTATTGCTTCAACCTCAAACTACATCATTCAAGAAATCACACTCTAACCCATCTGCATGACTGGTCAACACATGGACGTGCAAACTTTCCCATAGTGCTGCAGTAGGAACAGTCCAGACTGGAAAGAGTGCAAATTCATAGCTGGTTTTGATATTCTGGTGATGATTGGGTTCTAGACATAAAACTATAATGTAGAGTTCTGGGAAACATGTAGCTTCTGATTATATGAAACACAGAAGAAAAAGTATCTGCTTCAGATGAAAAAGTTCCTTGATGTAAGAAGGAATTTTGGCAAAACTCTTTGGTTAAAGAAGAGGCAGCTGTAAAAGAAGGCAATCTCTATTATTTCACCTTTAAAAAAAACATAAAATCTTTTTTTTTAGCCAAGCAATACACACACCAGTCTCAAATACACAGCATGAGAAAGCCACGTTACTATCAGAAATTAAAATATTAAGTCACCGTCTCCTTGTTAAGTTTTTCCAGTTCTTCCTGCTCTCTTTCCAAAGCTGCTGCTTGTTCCCTCTGTCTTTCTTCCCCCTCTCTCCTTTCTTCTTCCAGCATTTTCTCATCTTCACTCCTCTGTTGTTCAGCCTGTCTTTGATCCAACACAGCTGTGGAAAATTATTTCAATGTCCATGACTTGAGTTATATCATGATGTTACATTTTGATTTCACATTGTTCAGGGGTCTACCAGAGCAGCAAACACTGAAACCCCYTGTAAGCAACATCTTGATAACAAAGCCTGTTTGTAATTAAATTGGGCAAAATCAAGAACATATAAGTAGRTAAGTTTCTATGTGGTATTAATAGAAAATGGAAAACTAGTAGATATTTTGCTTATGTGTACATAAGTTTATGTGTGTATGCACATGGGTGTCAGCATGTGGGTATGCATGTGTATACACCCCCCTACACACACACACACACACACACACCCCTCTCCACCTCTACATGTTTCTACCTTGATAAATGCCTCCCTACGAGTTAAACAGCAGAGCTAAAAGTAAAGACAAGGAGTGGAAAAATCTCTCAGTGATTTTTTCATTCCTATTACAGATTTGCTCTTTAAATCTGAAAATTCCTATGCACATAAATCCTCCACTGTAGTATGGATTTAGGTGTTAAAAGAAGATGTCAGCATCAGCTTACACATGTATCTGCTATCTTAAAACTCAGGCAGCTCATGTGGTATGTGGCTGGATTTTTTCTTTATAATTATAAAGCAAAAACACTGTTAAAAATTAAAAATTATTTAAGGACACTCTGCTGTTTTGACCAGTAGATTTTTAAACCTATGCAAGCAGAACAGTAGCAATTAGATGGCCAATAGCAATTAGATGGTCAAACAAAATAATTATTAGAGCCTAGAAAAAAACTGGACTATGTAAAAATAATTGTAATGTTACCAAAACTAACTAGAAAAGTTGCCTGGGCAGCACTGAAATCTATCTCATCTACCCAAAGAATTAAATCAGCATGTGACAGTAAACATTGTGAATTATGAATCACAAAAGTCAAAAACAAAAAATCCAAATATGCAGCATGGAAAGCTCTAAAGTCTTATTTCTTTCAAGAGGAGAAATAATATTTAATAATCTTTCCCCCCMAAAAAAAAATCAAAATCTCTCTCCGTAAGATGAGGTGGAGTCTTAAAATGATTAAAGAAAAAGAAAGAACTCAAACAATGTTGAAAAAGTAACCCTCACACAATAAAGGAGGAGCAAACCTCGCATCCCCTTTGTTACAGAATCACCACTTTGGGGAAAATATTTAATCCTTCAGCCCARCTACGCACAGAGCGTGAAGGACGGCGGGGTGCTGCACACGGGCCCTCTGGGAGGGGTGTTTGTTTCTCTTCCCGAGCTGGGCACTCACTGGAGTCCGGCTGTGAGTGCCAGTTGTCACCAGCGGCTGTTGCGCTTCCAGCAACGTGGTTCCCGAAGGCCGCGGCCTCCGGTGGATGCAGGACAGTCCTTTCACACTGCTCCGGAACGGCCCCCTCATCTGCTGAAATATTTGAACAATAGCTTCATTATTTTGTAATTGCAAGAGCGAGGCTAAGGAAGGGACACGGAGTGTGGGAATGGCTAAACTAGAACACAGATACAAGCACTAATTGAGCATTTTCCCTCCAACTTGACCCCAAGAATGAAGAATTATCAGAGGCTTACTTGCTGCTTTAATTACAGAATTGCTGGGTTTGAAATTAGCTGTTGGAACACATCTGTGTTACAAACACAACGCAGATGCAAGGCTAAATATGCAAGAGAACATCAGAACATTTTCATTTCTGACATACCATTGCGTAATACACACAAATAATGTGTCCAAGTTTAGCTCATCCTTTTCAACCATATGAAACGTTTTTAACATACCTGATCGCATGCTATTTCCCTAGTAGGGTATCTGGCATCTTCAATGTGCTTTATAAGGATAAGGATAGATAATGCTGACTCGGATACTCTGCACTATATTTTCTTCTCCTTGCAGCATGTGTTGCTCCAGCTCACAAAAAATCAATTATTGTGTTTCTTCTGTGATCCTCCTCAGTACTGTACACAACTGCTTCTTTATATGCAACACACACACATGGAAACTACCCCAATTTTATGGGAGAGAGCAAGTAAAGACGTAAAAGTCAAATGTATCCAGGAGCTCCAGTTATCCAACCTGAACTCTATAGGACCATTTTTTTTTCAGGATTTTAGTGCAATAAAGCACAGATACCTTAGGTTTCGCCTTATGATCTGGATAAAGTTGTAAATACAAACTAATTTCCCATCCTTCAAATATCATCATGATTTCAAACATTTCTCTTTTCCGTGTTGTAATAAAATGCAAATATTTGGGATGAAGACAAACCACACACCTAACCTGATTAGCTTCGTTCTCAAAAAGTCTTGAGTTGCTTCAGTTCGTTTTGTAAAGGATTTTTAAAGCATCAGAGACAATCTGGGCAGAACTGTCCTTCTAGCAAAGCTATGAAAATGCTTCCAGGTTCATTCAAAACCAGTAGTTTTTGTCCTACCAGCGCTCCTTAGGAAAGCAAAGTTTACCCATGCTCTCTAAACAATGGGCCATCATACTCAAATAAAAATAAAAGTAYCTAGTGCCTTCTTTTGCTCTCTCTCTAGCATTAGGTTTAAAATATTTCCATAAGAAGAATCGGTAAGTTCCCAGGATATACGCAATGCTTGGCAGGGTGGCCTCTCATGGATTCCTTTACCCTACTTTGAGTCAGATCTGTACAACTTATAAGGAACAACTCAGTGCACCAAAGCCACTGAAAATATTTTTAAGATGCAAATTACTAAGAGTAAGCAATTTCTAGTACATAATATACTATTTAAGTTTCAGTGACTGAAGGAAAAAAAATTAATAATGGAAGACATAATGGCTGCAGAAACTCATCTTCAGAGTTATACTTGATCATACTGCTCCATAATGAACTTGTATGGTCATACTCCAAAACTGCTCCATAATGAACATCCCTTGGAGTCTTGTTTTCAACAATAAATATAGCAGGACTTCAAGCTAATCCACAGACTTATACATTTTGCTTTTAGGTGTGTTTGAGTGTCCATATATTTTTTTTCTATACAGTTTTAGACTTGCCTAAACCAAGTGTAAGACCTAATGAAATATTCAGAACAAGATAATACAAGTTTTGAAGAGGTATAATCCCAAATTACAGATCCAACTGTATCTTAATACCTACATATTTATATATAACTTGGCCTTCTAAAGATGCCAATATGATGAAAATTAGTGTTTAATCAACTGACACTCCTTTTCTTATTCCCAGCATCTGATTTTTTTCCTCGTCAACTACAGTTGCAAATTACCACATCAACTGTCTTGCAATTATTATGTTCTAAAGTGTTAAACACTTTTTTTTTCCCCAACCATATAAATTATCATTTTTAAGTCCCTCCACTAATAGTCTCTGATAATCCTATGCAAAATAAATCCATTTAAAGGAAAACAAAACAAAATTATGACGCATTTCTCTTTCAATTTACTGGAATAACTGCTTAAAATACTCCAAAACTTACATTCAAGGGAAGAAACATGTTCTTCAAGGTCCTCATATATCAGTTTCTCTGGTTTGAAGACATCACTGAGATTCGGTTTGTCTGTTTGTTGATTATGAAGTCTGAAAGAAGGAAGAACACAAATAATTTTGTAAACATAATTGCTAAGATTTTAAGCAAGCAATGATCTGAGACTTAAACACAGGGATTACTCCTAAGTTTATCAACAGACTAAACCAAATGTTAAAACACACAAGAAAAAATACTGTAAAATCCTGACTCATAAATTAAGGTATTTGAATACAGTTCTCCACATTTCACTGAATGTCAAGTACGTCTCTCTGATAAGATATTGCCCCTGCAGCCTTTCCCCAAGGCCCACAAAGAGCCGAGACAAACACATTACATTAAAACAAGATATACTCTGAAGAGGCATTAAGAGGAAATAAATAAAAGGAAGACGACAACGTGAGATACACACAGTTGACTGAAACGAAGAAATTTGCCTTTGGAGGCAGCATGTCTTTCTTAGACACCATGTTAACAGATGTGTTAGACATATATTGGGATTAGATGTCTGGCAAAACATATATGCACGGGTGAAAATGTGGGTTCTATGAAAAATGGGATTAGTGACCTCATTTTAATGCCCTGTTTACCTAATCAGATAAGTAATAGGAAAGAACAATAACTCCCACATGCCCTAGCTACTAAACTTAACCAGAACCTGCACAGCAAAAGGAGTACAGCCACTAATGAAAATCACCAGCAGCACTCCATAAAGGAGCTTACTGCATCCCAGCTGTCGCTTTTATCATTGCATAAATATATTTGTGCTTGCAGCTTCTAAGCAATTCAAGTCTTCAGCTGGGTAGAAGGGGGCAACAAACAAAACAAACGATCACCAAGAGACACRATCAATAAAAACAATATATTTGGGTAAACCCACAAATTTAGCCATCTTTTGAGAGGGGTAGGTCAGTAATGTCACTGATGCTGTAATTTAAACAGAATAAGTGCAACTTCAAATGTTTGCAGTTTAATCCCCCAAAGTGTTTTCTCTCCTTCCTAGTAATAGTTGCTAAATAACTCTGAAATGCCCACAGTTCAAACACATGCTGACCACTTTCTTCAATACTGTATCCTGCAATCCAGAAGCGCATTCAATTCGTGCCTTGGATTTAGTAAACAAAGAGATGTCCCTCATTAAGACAATTAAGCACATGCATTTTAAAACAGTTTTCAAAATTCATTTTGTCAAGCAAAGCTGACAATCAAAAGCTGGGCTGAATCTAACAGCAATATTGTAACGACAGGCCAATTGACACCACATGACTCAAGTTTAACTATTACACTGAAAACCTCCATTAAAGAACAAACAAACAAAAAGGGGAGAAAAGAAAAAAAAAAGAAAAAAAAATGCTAGCAATCCTCACAGTCACTTTCTTCAGCTCTGAACATAACAGGAAAGATTTAGATAATCTGCTTTATAGCTCCAGTCTTCCTGTCTGTAATTATTAGGTCTCTTCATACACACTCAGATCTTGAAATAGAAATAAACAGAGAGGTCCTGTATTCATACGAGCAGTTCTCCCTCACTGACTGAAGTCTAATTTGCAATGGCTTACGGGTAGTACAGCACCCTATTTTACTTGTAAGTACATTTCCATTGCCGCTTGCTCTCATAAACCCATTCCACCAGGCACGTTAAGGATGGGTCACCCTCAGTAAAAGTGTATTAAACGTGATACCAAAATAAAGAGGTCTGGAGATGCCTGTCTCCAGAAGAAAGGCCTGGAAATGTCTGGAGCTGTCTCAGGACAAGTTATTCCTCAGGATAAGTTATTTTTCCCTAGTAATCAAGTCAGGAAYGACGACGGGTGATGGGTATGAGATGTTTTGACTGTCCTTTACTTGGGAAGCAAAATTGCATCACAAACCTCTGATAACAGAGAAGCATGGAGAGAGGAAACATTTTTGTGCAGTTTAGTTTGAAAAGTTATTWATTTACCTAAAACAGATCTTAAGAAATGAAAGTGCAGCTACCCATCTCTTTACCTTTATATGCAAAGATGATAAACCCATAAATTCTAATTTAGCAAGAATGCTTAAATAAACTGAAGTAGCACAGACTAAAATGATGAGGAGCACAGTTCTAAATAGAAGAATTAATTCCCTTAAAGAGTACAATTTGAGCTAAGTTTCACTGATGGATATTTATCAGTTTGCTGCATGTGCATAAGAACAACTTGCCTTTAGGCTACCTCAGTTTCCCCAAGTTTCTTCACGTTCTCACTTTCCTGGCTTCTTAGTCCTTCATATAGCACTTTCTCGTGCTAGTGCCTCTCTTAGGCTCCGAAGCTCCTGTTAACACTCCCATCTCTCCCCAACACAGGGAACTCCTGAATAACCTTTTGCCCTTCCTCAGTTACAGCAGGGAAAAGGCTTTGCAGAACATTTTCTAAACCAATCATATCTTAGTTGCCTTTTATATACTCACAGAAAGGTACATACACCCACAACCACTGACAACCCATGAGAAATACTGAGTATTCAGAAATCTGAAATTTCTGGTATACTTGATGTACTTGAGGCTTAAGTATTAYACTGCACATACTTTATATGGTAAGAAGCACAGGTGTAACAGAAGTGAAAAGGTCCAGTCATATTTGCCAAATGAAAGTTTCATTTTTTGAACTATGGTCTTCTTGAGGCACGATATTCAAGAATGGGATCTAGAAACAACTTTAGAAATATTCTGTCCCATGAAATTTTTTTTTTACTTGAATTGTAAAAGCTGCATGTGTCTTAYAATTAGATGCATGTTTGTTTTATTAAAAAGATACAAATTCTGTTTTGTACACACCTGATTTTCTCTCTGTGACTGGATGGCGAGGAAGGCACAGATTCAGAAGATGAAAGGCGGCCTGGTTTTGAAATTGGAGAAAGCAGYTGGTCAACACTTTGCTGGGAAGAAGCGAGGTATGAGCCACTGATCTCTGCAGGACAACAACAACAAMAGCAATTTGTATTTATCAGTTCTTTACACTACGACTTTATAGATAAAATATCCACAATTAAACCATGCAAGTACCATTACTATGGCACAAGCAGCATCAAAAGCTAAAGGATTAATATGGACTTTCTTGTACTAAGTACTTTTATCTCCTCAGAGCTGGGTTAGAACTGGCATGACAACAGAGAGTATTTCCTGAGTGGCAGAATGCTGAAAAACAGAGTTCAGCATTTAAAGTCTGCTAGTGATGCATAAAGTATCAGGGGGAGAGGGAAGAGAAAAATTAAAAAAAAAAAAAAAAAAAAAAAGAGAGAGAGAGAGAGAGAAAAAAGGCAGAAAACATAATTATTTTTGTAATTGCTTTTAAGCAATAATGCCACTAAATACCTCATTGTCAGTTGCAGAACTACCAGGAATTTTTTCTCAATTATTTTAATATAAATTCTCTTTTACAAGCGTTCATTATCATATACTTATTCTTCACAAAGCCTTATCTTCAGCTCTCCTTTATACCTGCATGTCCCATGCAAAGTTTCCTTTACTCAGCATTTAAGACCCACTTCTGCTGGCATTAGAGGAAGTGGTTAGTGAGACAGACTTCAAGGTAGGGCTTGGTAGGGCATTTCATTAGGAAATTGAAACTGGAGATTTCAGTTTCTGCAGATTTGCGAAAATGAGAGGTTAGGCGAAGAAAAAAAATCTTTGACAATTTAATCCCTTTTGTAAGAATGGAAAAGTCATCTGGAAWGGATGACAAACAGACAGCAGGACTGAAGAAATCTTGGGTTTCCTAGGATACTGAAGGTGTCCATGTAATCTTGTATTAAAAATATTTTATTAAAATTACAAAGTCCAGCATTTTAGTTCAGTTTTGCTTTGCAATCTTTTCCTGTGCAGCTGCACGCATGCTTCATTACCTGGTTTTCTTTGAACCCACAAAATTCAGCATCACTCAGCAAGCAAGCACCAGCACTTTTCACCTCTTTTTTAGTGCTGTCCATTCAAATCCAGCTCTAGGGACAGAGGCAAAGCCCTCACAAACATCTCCCTGCTTGAAGTCCTTTCAAGATGCCGATATGGAAGTGCAGCATTCACAGTGCACTCCTCGCAGCACAAGGGCGGCTGCTTTACACCGGGGGGTTGCTCTTAGTTTTATTTCCACAGAGCCATTCCACATGCGGAGAGAAGAGCAACCCACACAGCAGAAACGGCCTCCAAAGAGGTCGGAGTGGGGCCTCGCCGCTACATCCTGCWGGGGCACCAGCAGCGTCTGTTAATGGTGGGAACCACCCGGAATCGAACGGACTCATCCAAGAAAAGAGCGAGAGGTGCCTGCTGCCTTGCCAGCCCCCCTCTTTCTTGCCAGAAGCAAGAATTACTTGCTAAGAACAATTTCCCATGCTGTCTGACCCATGCCCCCTATTACTTTATCAGTACTGTTCCCAAGGAACACCAGAGACTGGAAACAGGGAGTGCGTAACCTGGGGAGAACAGAAGAAGGATCTTTCCTAACTCAATTATTCTGTCAAGAACTGGGCCTACTCCCTCCCAAAAGGCAAAGCCTGAAAAATATGGAACGGGCATGGGCTAGGGAAGGACAGCAGGCAAATATATGAGCTAATTTGAAGATTGAACAGGAAAAAAAAAAAAAAAAGTGCATCCTTCAACTGACAGATTATATCATAAACTAGTTGCTGGATCTGCTAACTGTAAGTGCTACAGAAAGACCAAGCACTTCCTCCTATCCTTGGAAGATGGCTGCTGATAGTCGAGCTGGAATTTATTCTGACACGTGACTGGACTCCAGCACAGCTCATTTCAAGGAAAAGCAAAGCTCTCAGATTCACATGCAGGGTAWTTTTTTTCCTCTTGACATTTACACTGAGCTCTTCAGACTGACACCCTCAACCGCACTGAAAAAGGTTCCACAGAAGGTTCCAGAACGACTCAGGCTTCTCCAGCAAAACCACACTTGGTCTGTAGCCGCCTCCAGCAAACACTGCACTGTAAATGTCAATGTAAAAACACTCTGTATGAGGAGATTTTTGAAACTTTTTTTTTTTTCTGATATGGAGCAGACGTATTAAATGGGAAGCAACCTGATTCTTATCAGCACTTCAGCACCAAGCCTATAGATGGTTTGTCATTGCAATTTTCCACCTAATTCAGCTAGCGTGCTGTTCAACCTGCCAATTTGCCCTTGGTTTTTGAGCATCTTCCCAAGGAAGCCTGTTACCAGTCTTCTCAGCTTCTTCAAAATCACTTTCTTCCAAACCCCCTCATCCTACTCTTGTTCAGCTTGGACCTGTAAATCCCACAATTAGTTTCCACTTGCATTTTCTGATCATCAATTCATTCCTTCCTATTGATGCGAATTTCAACTAAAATCCTAGTTCTCCACATAATTTCCCCACTTTCTGAAACAAAAACCTATTTCTAAACACATTCTAGGAACTTAAGTATCTCTGATCTGCTGTGGTGTTTTACTAGATAAGCACCAATAACTAAAGCAAGTCAAAAGAGAACACAGATCTATTCCTTAATGCTAAAGGAAAAAAAAATTGCTCATAAAAATAGGAAGTCACGAGTGCTTACATTAATATATGCTACATACCTGATGCAATAAATTCTATTAAGCAGATGAAAGATTAACAAATATGTTTTTAAAAATAGAGTAAGAATTAAAAATACTTAAAAAGCTTCAGTTAGAGGCTTCCAAGGTGGCAAAATCTGAGGAAATTTACCTGAAAGCATGCAGGAATGTACTGAGAAAGCTGCACTTTTCAAGAATTTTTTCAAGAATTCTTGAGGTGGCCCGAATATTCAAAGAAATAGCAAATGATTTGCTCTTCTGAAACAGATAACCTGGAAAGTTCCAGGTCATCTTAAACAAGACTAAAGTTTCGCAGAGGTAAACATAACAATTGCCAAGGGTTTATCAGGAACTAATAGCGTTAAACTTACTTAACTTCTYCAACAGTGTAAACTTTCTAAAAGATAAAGGAAAGTGGCAGATATAGCATTTGTATTCTAATAGGCCTTGACACAGTCACTCACAATATTCTCATAAGCAAGGAAGAAAAATGTCATCTTGATTTAATCATCTTAAAACAGGGACAAAAGGAACTTCAAAAAAAATTGTAAATCTGAAATATTAAGTGAAACAAACATGATGTAATTCAATAAAATAGCATGTGAAGTGTACTGTAGTTAGGAAGAAAAATATCAAATTCACAAAATGGCCATGTAAGGAGAAAAGTACAGTGAATTACGTAGCACAGTCTTATTTTTAAAAYTAGCTGTTTTAAACTAAGTACACTAAACTAAGTGCAATATCTTTAGCCTCCCTCAAAGGACTTAATCAGTGCTGTTTTTGTGAAGAATTGATACTCCATTTACCTAACAAACTGGGTCTCTAATCTTCTCCTGCCCATTAGTAAATAAATAAATGAGTAAAAGATTATCAAGATTTCATCTCCATCTCCCAATCATAAAGCAGGAACAATAAATAAAACACTAACACCAGCATATTAATCAGTTGCTTACCATCTGAAAGTTTCTTTTTATTGAGATCTCTTTCCATTTTGGAAACAGGAGTGGAGGAAAGGYGTCTGGAGGAAGATACTCTTTTGTGTGGTGGTGTGAGAGGATTTAAGACTTCAACGTGGCCAACTCTTCCAGTGTACTTTGGGCCTCTTGGGCTGCTCAGAGGTGAGTGCTGGGAGCTAGGGCTGCCCTCTAGATGCTGCTGCTTTGTTGTCAAGGGGGCTCTGCTAAAAACATGCTCAGGAAGCAAAGGAGACTGCTTCTTTCTCGCTGTTCTGCTTGTGGCTGCATCCTGCATCACTCTGTACTGGTAGTTCCTGTAGGCTTCTTCCAAGTGCTCTGCCTCCTTTTCTAGCTCTTTTATTCGAGCCCTGGTTTGAGCCATGCACTCGAGGTCGGAATCGGGAGAAGCGCTCCGGGCTGGCAGGTGCCGGCAATACCCGGCTCTGGCCACAGTGTTGCCCTGCACAGTGTCGCCCATGGCCTGGGCCTTCCGGAAGGCACCATCCACGTACACATCCGCAGGCACCAGCCTGTCCTCAGCGAGAGCCACGAGGGAGCGCTCAACGAGCGACAGCTTCGGGTTCCGATACACTTCGTTTTCCAGAACTATGTGATCCAGGAGGCGTGAGGGAGACAGAGAGACTCGTAACTGATTAGAAGAATTAGGAGGGCATTTAAATGCCTGTGTAATCAAAATGTACTTATCATGAAACTAATCCCCATCCYGAGAATGTAATCATATATTTTCATATGCAAATTACAACTGATATTTTATCATTGTTTTATACATTTCTCTTTCTCTTCAAGTAACGCTATACCTAAAATATGCATCTTTATTAACCAGTTCTGCAAAGCATGATTCCTTAAATTATATTTTCTTATGTTTCTTATTTTTAATTACATTTATGTATCAAAACTTGATACATAATTCAAAATTTGAATTCATCTTGATACTTGAAATCCAACAGACCGGCATCTTCAGAACTACASGTATTTGGAAAACTGATCTGCGCTATGCAAATTCCTAATACCAATATGAGGAGCTTACATTAATAGTGTTGACTACAGCTGTCAAAAAGATAGGTTTAATATTGAGACACATGATAATTTCAAACCGATTACTCTTATTGTGAACATAAAAGAATGAAAAAGCATTAAAACACAACGTAAATCACTTTTTTCAAGTGTGTGTGCTATCACCAAATAGTAATGTCTTTATTCTAAGTAGTAACATAAACAATAGAAAAGAGAAAATATTCACGTAGGTGTGTTTTCATTTCTCCCTGTTGTTTTCATCTTACTTTTCTGTTAGAGAAGGAAGTTGGGGTTTGCATTTTAAACTGCATCTTTAAATAGACTCATTTTAAACTTGAAATCTATGTAGTGCTGATTGATTAGTTGCACATAGATCTCTTTAAGTCTCTGAAAAGTTTCATGTTGGTTTGATAAAAGCACTTAATAACGGGCTTCCTTTGTAYGAGATACAAACCTGCTTGTGTTTGTTTCAACTGCAGGTTCAATTCTTCAACTTGTATGTTTAACTTCCTGACAGCAGCTTCAGAGTCCAACAGCTGAGTCTTTAACTGGGCACAACGCTCAACCTACATGAGATGGAGGGTAGGGGTGAAGAAGGGCAGGGATATATAATCTATATAAATAGAAATACTCTGACTTGCAGAATGCCTGTTTCTTTCTTAGAACTTTTCAGGTCAAATCAAAATATATATACATAGTAAACCATGCAAAGCCAGTACCGACAGCTTAAAAGGTGGAAAAGATTGACTTTGACCTTTTTCTAAGTAGTTTACATTAAAAAAAAAAGTAGAGTTCAAAGCATTCCAGTAACATTTAGAATGACATGCATACAATGGTAAATGTTATCAAGATAACACGAAGTAGTAGTATTCAAACTATTTATATTAGAAASAGTAAAGTACCTCACTCTGTAGCTGCTTTTCCAAAAATTGCTTGTGACTTTGAAATTCATCCTGTTCCAACTTTCTGGAATGTTCCATCCTTCTCAACTCTGCCTGGCAGGCCAGGAGCTCCACTGAGGGCTGGGCAAGTTCTTTCAAGAAAGAGAAACGTAAAATACTTCACAATATGAATGTTCACTTTTTATATATAATATTGTTTTGAAATTTACATTGTTTTAAAACCAAAACAAATCTTCCACAATTATATTTAAGGGTTTTTTTTTTTTTTTTTTTTAAAAGAAGTCCCAAAAGAAGTCCCTTTATAGAAGTCCCAAAATTTTGGTTGCTATATTCACTTAAAAATACACCAGGATTTTCTTATTAGGTAAAGAAAATATATACTCCTACCTTCCCTAAGGTACAGGATGCATATGGGATATGAGTGCTGTCCATATCCCATGTGCAGATACCCAGATGTCTCTACCCTTGCCATAACCTCAGGTGTACACTTGATCAATGTAGTGAAGTGAGCCCTCAGTAAAACGTCAAGCTGTTCTTACCTTTATTAACAATATTACTGCTGTGGATTAAAATATTGTATCATTTCTTTTCAGGAGTTGAAAGGGATATTATTAGCATAAGAGTTATCTCTTATTTCAGAATTTGCACTATACAGTTGTTTAAGAAAAAATTACAGTCAGGTATTTTCTAAATTAAACAACGATAGTACTATTTAAAGATGCTTTTCAAAAAAAGAAAAAAAAAGTACAGAAAGATTATATAATCCACCCAAACTCAGGCAAAATATTACAACCTATCTGGAAACTGAACTCAGACATGAAACTTGGTGGTTCCATAAATAAGAGTGGCCTTAATCAGTAATCAGACATAAACTAAACTTAAAACGTAAGAGAAGAAAAATAAATTGGAAGTGGGAGGGAGGGTTGGGGGAAGAGGGCAGTGTAGGGAGTGGAAAAACAGCCACCAATCAGACAAGCAAGCTGTCAAAGCTTTCCGATTTTTTTAGGACATTTTTTTTTTCATTTGTCCCATAACAAAACATAAATTGTTTTGTTAGGTTCCAATTTGCCCCAAATTTGTCCCAAAACATAAACTGAAGTTTAGAATAAACTACYGGTCAACATCATAAAAATAATTTTTAATGCAAATTTCCAAACAAGTATCTGTAGAAAAACACAAAAAAGAAATTTACAAAATTGTTCACACTAACTGTCTCTGAGATGCTGGTTGTCACTGCGAGTCTCCTCCAGCTGTTGCCTAAGTATCTTATTCTGCACTTGGAGCTCCAATTTCTCTTCCTTTAGCAAGGGATAGTCTGAAACCTCTTTCAGTTTTTCTGTCAACAGCTGATTCTGTTTATTTACCAGCAGAACCTGGGCCTTCACTGACTCCAAATCCAGCTGTAGACAAAGAACATTTCAGAATGTGAAAAAGGTGTTTCCCCTGAAAAACCAATCTGTGTAGTTAACAATGACTTATATTTCAGATTTTCTTTTTTTTTTGAAAGTGTAGCCCAAATGATCAGAAAAAAAATCTAACTCTTCTAAATTCACATTCACAATTACCTCAAGCTCTTTTGTACGTGAGATAGCTTGCTTCAGTTCCTCCTTTTTTGAATTAATAGCAATGGATTCTTCATGCAAAAAAACAGCCTTCTCTGCAAAAAGAATTACAAATGTTAAATTATAGTGTTGCATTAAAAACAGTATCAGTAAAAAAAACAAGTTGCTAAAACAAGAATGCAATTTAATTGAAGGCTTGAAAGATTTGATAGGTGTGCATATGTACATATATACATACACATACACACAAACACATTCCTTCAAAATTACGTACATCACTCTGCGTAACAAATATATATACTTAATCAAAATTAAGTCACAATTTCACATGCACACGATACATAATTCTCCCACATGATCCTGACTTAAAAGTCTACATATGTCATCTGCCCCAGCTGTTTTTCCTCCAGCTTTAGTTAAACATTTTGTGCATGATRAGTGCAGCCACTGGCAACTCTTCAAGGGTTCGGTACCAGACTGTACCAGACTTCAACTACAGAACTAGCTGGTGGAACTTCGGAAGGAGCTGGGAAACCCTCTGGAAACAGGGTGGGGGGCTTCATAGCTTCCATGTGAAATACCTTATACATAGGCAATAGCTTATTGGTTCCCACTGTATCCTGAACTGCAAGGAGTTGTTGACCTGTCCCTGGATCCTGCTATATGTTTTTCAGCATCTCTTGTCACTTACAGCAAACTGTCACTGTTATCAAACTTTTGTTTTGCTAAACAGTGTTTTGAGGCCTCTTGGTAAAAGCTCTAGAAGCAAACAACAGAGACTTTATCTCAGATAAGTTACCTTTATTCTTTTTCTCATCTTCAGTAACTTTGCTGGTTCTGGCTATATATTCTTCTTTCAATTCAAGCTGATATCTGGATGTAAAAACAGTTACATATTCCCAATGCACATATGTATGTGTGGGATGGGAAGTTCAAAATTTTCCCAGACTAAAACTATAACCACACAATACAATTACTTGTTGACAAAATTMATTCCCACAGAACTCTATGCTAAATGCATATTCCACAGTCCTCACGGGCAATCTGTGCCGACACTACATTAATGTTTGTTTCCTAAAATCCAACCTCCCATTCTACACTTTAGTGCCACTGCTACCCTCTAGGTTGTCTACCACTCTCAAGCTACAAAATATATGAAAAACAGCTACAAAAGAAAAGACTTTCAAATGCAAGTAGCTGTGGATGCTATTAGATCAGCTTTAATCAGCTTTATTTGGTGTCAAATACATAACTCAACACTTCCTGTTCAACTTCYTGAGATTTATACTGGCACAATCCCCAAGTTTACCAAAGTCTCTCTGCACTAACACTTTGCCATTTGTTGTGGCAGTCATTCATTTCCCTCAAGCTGGCATCTCATGCACAATTGCTGAGGATGCTGAGGATACTCTGCCATCAAACAGGCTCCTGATGAAGGTAGGGGACAGCAGAAATCCCAGCACTGGTCCCCAAGGGCTTTTCATTTGCCATCAGCTAGAAACTGAGTAATGCCCAACTATGCCCAACCCAGCAGCCATCCAACCTCAACATTCAATTTTACTGAAAGCTACAAGAGCTAAAAGTACTCAGTGTTTTGTATGACTGAGATTATTAATGTTATCAAATATCTCTATCCCCATCTTGTAATTGTAAATGGCCCAGATAACCAAAATCTTTCTCCCAGTTGTGGAATTCACAGTTTACTTAGTAATAATAATAATAAAAGACAATTCCTTTTCTAAAAATATTATTTTTCCACACTAAATAGTAGCTCTTCATTATTACTTATCTGGCATCAATAAGGGCATGGATTTTATCTACTTGAGCATTTGCAGAATGCCAAAAATATTTGTATGCTGATAAAATTAGCTAGGCAACAGTTAATACTTAAAATAACTTCCTTTTCCTCATAAAGCAAAAGTACTTATAAGCATTACTTGTAACTAGCAGCTACGGACTACACAAGTAAAATAAGGTACCTGGGTCTTAACCAAGGTGCATCAATTAGTTGCCTCATGTTGTCCTCTGTCCAAAAACACAACTCACACTCAGAGGAAGCACCATTCTTACCAAAACCCACCCTGCACATCTTTCTTCTGTCGTCTTCATGAAAATATAGTGACGCAGTCAATACCTACATTTATTGATAGCTGAATACTAACAGCTGATAGTTTAGCTTGCAAATAAATTACGGGGCACCAGCCATGTGGTTGACCTTCCCATTTGAAAAACAGGTTTATTTCTTCATCTAACTATGAGCAATGACATCTTGAGAGCACCTGCCTGCATTGCAGCATCAGGCAAGCTTCAGGTGACCACTCACTAAACAGACATAAGCAATAATATTAAGTATTCAAAACAATAAAAATAAAAAATGTAATGCACATTTTAAGTCCTTGCCTTGTTATATTTGCATCAATAAATCCTACAGAATCTATTATTCTATTTTCATAGGAAATAATGTGTGTTCTGTTAAGAGACAAAGAAAAATTTACTTCATGAGTTCAGTCTTAAGTTTTTGGTCRTAAGTCTCCTCTATGTTCTTCACAGCAACTTCCCGACGTCGAAGTGCGTCATCAATAGTTTTATTTTTTTCTTCATGAAGTTTCTGAGTGCTGAAATATTCATAAATACACAAACAGTGACCAGTTCTGAAGTCAATTTTTTAGGGATTTTTGGTTTTGTYTTAATAACATTTACATAAAAAACATTTACAGAAGTCAAAAGGTAGTGTGCTTGCTTGAAGCAATTTAGCAATTTAAAATTAACATCAGAATCTGTCATTGTCATTCACTAAGAACCAATGGCACAYGCTAAACTGCCCTATTTAAAATCCAGCATTATTATTATGTATGCAGCTATCCTGGAGTAACCCTAGCTCAGTTTTCCTCACAAAAAAAGGCTTCAGAGAAGATAATGTGGAGCATGCTACTCTATCAGCACCCTCTGCTGGCTTGCTGGAAAAAGATAAAATAAGTATTGGAAATTTGGCAAAAATAAATAATTAAATGAATGAATGAAAGAAAATTGATCTTATTAAGCACGTCCCTTTAACAGTCATTAAAGGAAAAGCAGGATTACATGCCTCAGTGTTATGACTGTGTAACGTTCCCTTCTCCCTGAACTGCAAAGCAAATGCCTGGGTAATTGCAAYGTCTCCCTATTTTGGTTGGATTAAACTAACTAACAAAATAAATAAAAACAAAACAAAAACCAGTAAGCTTCTCTCTGCTCAACAATACTGCTCAACACACACACAACTCTTGGTATAGATAAACCCTCTCAACTTATAGAAAATCTCTAAACTTCATAAAAGCAGCAGCATGTTGAGACACGCTTTCCAGAAGCAGCACGTGGTACTGCAAATGCCCCCCAATAACTCACATTTCAAATGTCTCGATTCTCTGCTTCAGCTCTGCCTCCCTTGTTCTTATGACTTCTATGTCTTTCAGTAGAGCTTGTCTCTGAGCATATACTTCCTTTGCTTCAATCTGAATGAGAAAATATTATCTTTAGTTTTACTGTTTTACTTCACATTTTATACAGTATTTGTTGTTTAAGATGTTGAAATYTTCAAGGAACTTCTTTGGGAATTGGTATTATTCCAAACAATACTATTTATATATAATCACCATTTGGAGTGACATGCAGAATTTAATAAACAGAATTACCTGTTTTTCCCTACTTATCCTAATGTTAATCTGAGCAAAACTGTCTTGGAAGCAGATATTACTGCCTATCACTAAACAYTTTCATTTTAAGTAACTACAGAGACTTACAGTTTTCTTTTTAAATTATTCATGGAATAAAAATGTTCAAATATTTGAGGCTGACAGAGCACCGGAACAGGCTGCCCAGAGAGGTTGTGGAGTCTCCTTCTTTGGAGATCTTTAAAACCCACCTGGATGCAGCCCTGTGCCACGTGCTCTGGGTGACCCTGCGTGAGCAGGGGGGTTGGACTCGATGACCTCTGAGGTCCCTTCCAACCTTAAGTATTCTATGATTCTATGAAATATCTCCTTTTAATAAATAATCTTATTTTCTTCAAAAAGACAACACTGAAAAAAAGAAATGTCAAAATCCCTGATTAAAGAAATGATGATTCAACCAGCAGTCCTTTTACTTTCACTATTTAACTTATACAAATTTAATAAACTGTTGGAGGAATATAACTGATGAACATGTTAATACCACAAGTCATATAGCTTCTCATCAACAGGGGAAAAAAAAGAGCTTCTATTGTTCACAACACATTACTTCTCTACAAAGAATCACTAAGCGCATGAAGAAATAAAACAGATGACTTTGCCCTGTGGATGCTCCTATCAAATCTGCAAGTCTTGCACATCTGCTGAAAGAATTATGTGCTCTTTCCTGTACAAAGAATAGATTTGTCAAGCTGTATTTCCTGGTCATATAATCACCTTAGTAAAGGGTTAAATAACCTTTTAATACAAATATACTTGGTAGAGCTGCTGGTCTCTATTAAGAGTCTCTCCRTAAATGAAGGTGCAAAACCTGACATGAGCAACCAAATAACCACACATAACACTTGGCAGATAAGTTGATCCATCTATTTTTTGAATTACTGAACTAATTTCATGCCTAAAGAGGATTGAGAGCATAAAACAGGCAGTTATCCTGCAAGCTTCTGTAAGGACACAACCATGAAAGAATTTTATAGAGCAGCGATGAAATGTTTAATTTCCAGACTGGAAGGAGGTCACCAGCAGAGTGCTTAGAGCCCAACATGACTGCTTCAGTAATGAACCCACGTGCTCTGACGGGGGAGAAAACACGAGCAGGAAGGTGGCAGAGTTGATGGAAGACTAAGTTATGTCAAGAGGAAGGTCTCCTGCAGACTGCAGGGGGRGCGCCAGCTACCTGGGCAGCAAGCAAAGCATTCTCTCAAACACTGACAAGTGTGAGAGTCTTTGAGGTACAGTTTAGACTTTGTAGCATTTGCTGTGTAGTGCATTAATGCTCAGCGCTCTGGCCGAACACCCAGGTGCTAACAGCCAGCCCAAGGGAGGTGCTCATCGACACAAAGTGTTCAAAGACAAGAAACAAGGTGACAGCTTGAAGCAAAGAGAACAGCTACTGAAAATATTAAACACATTATAACGTGCAGCAATGGTATAGCCTCACTATGCAGAATTTAGTTTATAAATTCTTTCAATTAATAGGAAGAATTCTACTGCAACTAAATACTGTGGCTTGGAATCAAGCACTTCAGTTGTCTGAATTAAAAAAAAAAGATTAAAATAGATTAAAAGGTAAATATCACATTTCAATCCATTTGCAGAATTGTTCCTATTCTAGGAAGTTCTAATTAAATATTTATCCATATGCAACTGTGTAGCTGCTAATGACATTACCCTACTTTTAAGAAAAAAAAGTAAATTAAAARTTTTCACTAGTACACCAAGATTTGAATGCAGATCTCCTAAAGAACAAGGAACATTTTAATCAACTCACYGAATCACTTGTACTATGCTATAACCCACACAGATTTGGAACTTTACCTCTTGTTGTTTTTGGAGCCTCTCAATCGCATTCTTTTCGCGAGATATCAGGGCTTCAGACTTGGCCTGATGGGTCCTTTCAAACTCATGCCGTAGCGCAGAGATTTCCTTCTGGGTTTGCAGTTTCTCCTCCATTTTAATCTTTGCTATTTCAACTTCTTTAAAATGCTCTAGCTTTTACATAAAAAAGGAAGAGAGAATTAAATACATCCATCTTCAAATGAACAATCTCTACTCATACAACTTAAATTTACTTTACCGGCCTTTCAAATATAGCACTGCAGAAGTTGTATCCTAATGGAAATTAGGGTGMAACCACATTAGTAAGTTCCTCCTTTGACAGGGTCTGTACTTTTGTCACACCCATAAAGAATCCTTTTTGACTGGTGATACAGTGAATGACAGAGGCAGACAGATCCTGAATCACTCAGAAACACCACAATTTCATTGAAAAGCACACACAAAAAAGCTTCCATATCAACAAAGTTACAGAAACGGAAGTCCCGAGTCACTCGCCTATCATTAGAAAGCCAAAGCACTCCAACAGGAAAGCCCACAGCCGGTAGATTCACAGAGGAGTCTGGGTGTGGGCATAAATTTTGTGAAAAAGTTAAAAAAAATAAAAAAGGGCATAGTGAGACAGTACAGCCTGTACTGCACATGTACAGCTGGGATTAGAAGTGGCTTCTACTAATTCACACTCCTAAATAATCTACAGAAAGTTAGGTAGATATAAATCACTTCTAAACTGTATTAAGATTCCAGTCTTCTGTTTTGAAACTGCATTGCCGAAACAGAGAAAAAATTACCCACAAATTAACATGCTTTGCATACTAATTAGGCAGTGTCTGCTGAGGAATAAAGAATGAGGGAAGATSAAATGCACTTTTTTTTTTTAATCCTTTTGCTTGTTTATCACAATAAGCATAAACTTATTTTTTCAAACAATTAATATGCATAAGTGACTTTATAAGTGTGCCTAAATATTATAATTGAGAACAAGTAAGCAAATTTTTCTAGCACAGCATTAAAAAAAAAAAAAAAAAAAAAAAAAAAAAAAAGTTGACTTTGACAGAAAATCATGAGGGGAAAAAAAAACACGCAATAAGAGATCTGCAGTACAGGGAAAGTCTCCAAAATAGCTCTACATTTAATTATAGCAAGAAGAAATCCACAATGAAAATAAAAATAATGGGGCTGTTTCAATTTTAAAATTTATATTCAATGTTTTGATATGGTATGCAAATTCTAATCAGCACCAAAAGACACATTTCCAAAATTGTATAYGTCTAACAAGCAAAGGTGACTGGAAAATATGTACATGCCACATCATCAAATTACCAACGTATTTAACTTAACCTTTTGTATTTACCATAAATCATTATTAAACTGTTTCATTACAGGTTTTATAAACATTAAAAATATAAGCTGCAAACTTAAAATTAACAAATTTTGTTCTCACGCTTGCTGATAGGAATTATACCTTTTGATGCATTTCTGCTTGAAGCTGCTTCTCTATTTCTTTCTTATATTCATGAATTTTTATGTCCAAAGATTCAAACTTGTGATGCTGGGGATAAGAGTCTGCAAACTGTTCATCAATCAGCTGAAGCTTCTCAGCTATAAAAACACAGGATTTGAAAATAACTTAGTCACCACAGTTATTCTACCAAAGATCTGTCTCTCTCTRTAAAGTTCCTTAGTGCACAGGAGTAGGAGCATCACCAAAAGATCCACACAGCAAAACAGCCCTGATAGCAGAGAAGCAGCATGGAGTGATAATGCTTGCAGTTCTCCTTACATCTTCTTCAATATACTTCAACATACAATATCAACGATTCAACTGAAAACCTAAGAAAGCACATGAGCAATAACAGAATTGAAAATAGGACTTTAGTCCTATTTTAGAAAAGTGAGAAAAGAGTGTAGGAGCGATGGGTATAATCTTCTTTATTACTRTATGAATAGATGATGAATGAACACCGTTAGTCCAATTTATTCATCCTTACAATTTATCCAATACCAAAATATTGGTGAATCCTTGCCTGCAAAGGCTGCACTTACCAAGTGACTCTCTGTAAGGAGGCATCAAGCTTGTCTGTGTTTCTGTGTCATGACTTTCCCTACTTAAATGATGCTCGATCAGTTCCATTAAGATCTGCATAAGAAAACCTTTCAAGATCAAAGAATTAGTTACTTCCAAGTTTGTATCAAATCAAATAACTAAAAAAAAAATAAATAAATAAATAAATAAATATCTTCCAATTCAATGAAGGAATCCAGTGCCAATTAGATTAAATCAATGCTAATAATTTATACTTTACTACAATTATATCACTAACTGATCAACATTTGAGTACAAGACTTCCAAAGAGAATTAAAGGGAATACTTGATTACAGGTTTCTTTTCATACTTTTGAGTCATTTATTTTAGCTTGTAGGTGAATACGAACACTTCATCCACATCAAAAATATGAGTGCACCATCTTGAAATACTTGCAGTACATTAGGATAACAAAAATTGTATCTCTAAAAATCCTAATAAATCCAAATTATTCAAACCTAACACWTACTGCAGGAACTTAAGTTTCTATTCTGCTATTCAAAACAAGGCTGAAATGTATATCATTGTGTTCATCATACCTAAATATTATGTACCTTTTTTATTTTCCTTCTGAGTTCTCAAAGTCTGTAAGAAACAAAAGATGGGTGTTTTATCCAGCCTATTCCATCACAAATGAAATTCAAGTGTATTTTTTCAATCAAAATCATTTTACCAGTGATTTGTAAAGACTGGACTTTGGATTGATCCTGATTAACTGAAGAAGATCTTGCATGGTCAACAGCTTTGAGAGAAAAAGAAAGAAAAAAGATAAATTAGAGAAGGTCAACTATCTTTAAAACTTTTCAAATAAGTAACAGCCATTATTTTACATTGCTACAGAATAATTTTCCATTTGAGAAAGATCTATTTATCACTTTGTAAGTGTATTTGTATCACTTCCAGAGCCTTGCTGTCCTASTAGCACATTTACTATTTCTGTTACTTAAGATACCTGGCAGTCAGTGTGCAACCTCAAGAGGCGCTGAAGCTGCAAAGAGATGGTTCTACTTTCTCCTCCACGTGGACCCGGGCTCTTGCTGATTTACGTGCAGCTTTTGTAGCCACACCAAATAGAGATCAGCCCATTAGTCCAAATGACACCTTATCTCTTTGTAGTTCAGAAAATTGATTTTCACTCAGAAACATCTTCACCACATTATGAAGGAATAATAGTGGGGAAACAAAGGAAGGGTCAGGACTGCTCTTTTCCAGACACAGCTTAAATGGATTGTGAATCACACTTTTTCTGAGGTGGAAGTGGGTGGGGGGAGTCTCTTTTTAATTAGGATCAGTTCAAGCAGTTTTCCACATGGCACAAAAAAAAAAATGCAGATTGTGCTAGTGTTTGAAGCAAGTGTAAACTTAAGAGTCCCTATGCCTTTCCAGAGCAGCATCATTATTTTATTGACAGTTTTGAAGTATTTGTGAAAATAGTCCTGGTCAGATGCTGCACTGTCACAAAACGGGATTTTTCAATTATGGTGAAATACTTGCAAAGCTCCTAARAATTTTAAGAGATAAATTAAAAAATTAAAATAAAGAAAACAAAGCTTACCTTCTTCTTCTCTAATCCACTTTCTGGAAAGAAAACAGAGAGTGAATACTCATAGCCGCATCTCTGCAGATGATCTGCCACCAAACTGTTGGAGGCTGTGATCAGAAGGGAGCCATCTTCACTTGCAACATGCTGGGGCKGAAGTTCCCCACTTAAAATCGGGTGCATTAACTCATGGATTAGCTGGTTTCGTAGCTGTGTCTGGTACRGAAAAGAAATTTTAATAGGTAAACAGAGAAAACGGAAGTTTTTATTTTGCAAGCCCCTTGGGAGTCTCATTGCATTTGTATCTGCTATATTACCACCTATTTCACAGAAAGAGGGGCAGACTAACTTTGGCAAAATGTAGACTGTTCAGGACACCACGGTTTTCCTCRATGCTCACTAGTGGTGCTATAGTGATGCTCGACTTTCCCTCAATATATAACACTGAGTTAGCTGTGAAAACACTCACGTGAGCGCCAGGCGAGCATCCTCCCTCCCTGCCCCAGCATCATTTTAGAGGACTGCTTTTCTGTGCTGCTCCTCTCTGCTCAAGTGAAGCCCATCTAACATGGCTTCGGTTTCACCTATGCTTGAAAAACTCACAAATGCTCCTAAACCAAGAAGCCGCTAATTCCATAGCGAAATTAAGAGGATAAAACAGGAAATATAGCATTTTAATATCTTCAAGTATTCTGCAGGGAAGCAAAAGTGTACCAATAAAAAAATGCCTCCTGGCACTAGAAATCACACCACAAATAACTCAGTAAGGAATTCAATGTAACAACATGTGCTATGATAGAAAAAGAATTAACCTGAAGTCATAAAGGAAGAACTATAAGAGGCAAAAGTAACTTTTATTCTGTAACTATACAGGTTTATAGCGAACTATAAAGCTGCCATAGGAATAGTGTTTTAAGCTGCCAAWAGCAGCTGTGCAACACTGACAGCTTCCGGAGCTGATTAAAGAAACACTGTGCTTCCAACAGTGAACCACCTGATGTCTCCAAAGCTCATCACAGTTAAATCACACCGGAATGCCCTGATGTGTTAGCAAGGCTTTTTACAGAAGGTCGGTACCCAAGAGAAGCAAAGATGCCTGATGCAGTGCTCTCAGTAACTCCTGCACTTGTCCAGTTTCACCTAACTTTGCCAGATAAGGCTGCCTCTGAGACCAGCGGCCTCTTACAAGCGCCGTGACAAAGCACASGTGGACAACACGGGAGGGCTAAACTCTTGTCCCTACTAAGGGAAAGGGGCAAAAATCAGCTGYTACACAACTACTCTTTGTGACAGGAGGTAACACTTGCCCATTCAGCACACGTGCAGCCCCGATGAATGAAGGCTCATGATTTCCTAACAGCAGTGACAGCAGMAAAGCCAACGGGGAAGCCAAGAGCCCTCTCACTGGAGGATGCAAGGACGCTTGCAGGCATCCATTGGAAACCCGACTTGATTATTTCTTCAGCTGAGCAGAACAATAAAGTATGAGAATGCATAGCCTTCTAGACATGGAAAATGAAGCAGAAAGATAGATGTGGATAGCAAATCACTTGACAGATTTTGTTAAACCAAACAACACAAGGAATGATTCGAGTATTACTTATTCGGTACAGAAATCACTAAAGGAAAAAACACGCAGTCCTCAGGAAAATTGCTGTAAGAGTAACACTAGCATTCTTAAAGAACTGCCTGTGAATGTTGTCGTGAATGAGTTTGGCATAAAAAGTAGAAACTAAAAAAGATATATGTACACAAGAGCAAACAGGGTCTGTGATCTAGGTGCTCCTTTCCACCTCGCACACTCATCTATTCCTCTCCTTCCTATGTGACCGTCTCTGCAAACATGGAAACTTGAGAGGCCTTATGGAAACTATYAGCCTTCCTGCAAAGATCATTCCACAGTGGAAAGTATGATTATATATGGGAAGAAAACAAAATCAGGCACAAAAGCTGAATATGGATTATGCTGCACAATAAATAAATAAATGAGGGGAGAAACGCAGTTATTCTCTCTGCATTTCACTGCCTCCCTTCTCCGGTACAAGCCACACACCTTCAGTGTGTCCAGCACCCCGCGCTTCTTAAAAGTCTGATAGAGCCTTTTCCGGAGCTCATCTTGGGACAGCGCCTCCCGCTCAGCCGAGGACATCCTGACCTAGCGCACCGCGGAAGAAAAATATAAAAACAAAAGAAAATAAAATCCGCAGTTTTCCTGGCTCCGAGCTCGACGCGCTCCCGGGCAGCCTCCCCGCACCTCGGCTCGCCGGCTCCCGCCCGCGGGGCGCTGCGGGGACAAGGGGCCGGCGGGGGAGGCCGGCCGCGGGCACTCCGGAGGGGCCGAGCGGGGGCGAGCTGCCGCTCGCGCCGCCGCCACCCGCCCGCGCCTCGGCCGCGGCGGGCGGGCCGCCCGGCGGCAGCTCTCGCGAGAGCCGCTAACGGCCGTTCCTGCCCGCCACGGGGAGCCGCGCGGCAGCTCTCGCGAGAGCTGCTCCGTCACGGGGGCGCGCCGGATGCGCGCGCGGGGCCGCTGGGTGTTTCCGGGCAGCCGTTGGGAGCCGTTGGAGAGCTCATACCCACGGGTAGGCGGCCGGGCGGCCTTCGGTTGCGGTTTCTCTCAGGCTCGATCCCCTCCGCCCCTCTCGGGATGGCGCTGGGCTGGGGCCTCCTTCCTTCTTTCCCTGGGAGCCCTTGGGACGTGTCGCCGGGGGCGGGTTGCGGAGGGGCCGGGCCCACGCAGTGCGTGCGGGGGGAGGAGCGGTGAACGCGCGCGGCTACGCGGGAGTCCCCATCTCCACCAGTCCCACTTTTCCTGATCGTGTGTAGGGCCCGTGGGACGAAAAAGGTGATGATGTTTTTCAGAGACTGGTTCACGATGGTGCTTTATATCGTCAGTGCCGTCTGCGCCCCTGGGAGTGCAGTCAGTAAGCAGACTGACTCTCCATCGCCACTAGAATAAGTCTCTGAGTAGTAACAGTTAGAAGCATTTCCAGGTGATGATAGGCTTTCCAGCTATTTCTTGTTTGCTCTTCCCCCTCCCCCCTTTTTTTTAAGTAATATGCCTGCTTAAGCAAATCTTCATCTTTTAAATGTACATCTTTAGCTTTTAGCCACTACACGTGCATGGGGAATAATGTTTTAGCACTACATGCACATGCGAATAATATTGGGGGATTGCAGGAGCACTTTGCGATGCATTAAGACTTTGTAAGTAGCATTGTTAATTAAGCATGTGCATCTCTTTCATAAGGAACGTTATTCTGAAGAATGTCTGGAAGCTTCTACTTCGTAATTGTGGGTCATCATGATAATCCCGTATTTGAAATGGAATTTCTACCTCCTGGAAAAGCAGAAACCAAGGTGTGGGGGGTTCTTAATTTTTGGTTATTTTGTTTTGTTTTCTGCCATAATACTCTATGGTGTAATTATGGTGCATATTCTGATAATTTTACAGCATATTGAAAGCATAACTAAATGTTGTCAAATATATAGTCTTACTATGATCTTCTATTTTGTTTTTTCTTTTACAGAAACATAGTGATAGGGAAGAGAACTCCAGGGTATTGAGTCTTTTAAAATTCCTTGCCAGATTGTACTGTTCTCCAGAAAAAAATGGTTTTATTAAATATTCTGGTATTTATTGGGAAGAATATAAGCTGCAGTGATTATTGTCAATGTGTAGTGCTTTTATTACACTTGTTCATTGTCTAATGCGGCTTAATGTCATTATCTCTTTTAAGGTATCCATGCGCAGTAATAAGGAAAAGTAAGGGGTATAAATTTGAAAGGTCTATTTTATTCCTTTGAATTTTTATGGTACCAAAAAACAAACAAACAAACAAAGGCTTTAGCCCTTATGTAGTAGTCATCCTCCTTTTTTTCAGTAAGGACGGTTTAAAATGTCTATTGATTAATATGGATTTGAAAGTATGAGAAATGTAAGACTACTCAATATGTAGCGGGAAAAGAGCAAATCTATATGTAGTGATATTGCATTAAATAATCATTAGAGTTCAGAATAAAAGTGCATGCATCTTTGTGTGCCCCTTAATTTACTCCTGAGAGAATCTAAACTTAATATGCACTGCAAAAAAATAGCAGGCATTGGCAACTATCTATGAGAGATACCGTTTAAGACGGAATTCCTTGCAGAGTCACGACCTCCTGAAGTAAACACCTTGCACGTGTATGTAAATCTGCACAATCTTTTGCTCCTCCAGTTTGTGGATTGGCTTGTTGCTCAGGGTGTTTTCATGGAATTGGCAAAGCTGTCGGTGGTGTGAGTCAAACTGGCTTTGGGAGACCATTGTGCACCACAAAGTGCGAGGGCAGCACTAACAGTATTCCTGGATTACAAGAAGTCATGCAAGGTGGCTGCTGTTGCCACTCTAATAGATGCTGACAGGATGGCTTAAGCCCATGTTTCTTCTGAGTGGATGCCTGCTAATGCCCTATTTTTATTAAGTAAATGACTTTCTCCACATAACTTTTTCTAGTAGTTTGAGCCTCTGTGTGTAGTGAAGGAGTTTACCCAATGGTAAATATCAGGGAATCCATGTGCAAACTCATTGACATATAAATGCACAGAAAATGGACTTTATTGGTTCTACTGTGCCTAACACTGTTTTGGTGTTGCTTCACCTTTTTTATCTTGAAATAGGAAATTGTTATAGAAGTTTATCAAAAATGGCTCATATGTGGCAGAAAGGGATGTTACAAAACTTCATGTAACTTGAGCTCTTATTGTTTTGGAGCTTAAGAAAATTTTCGTTTGAATTTAACTTCCTGAAGTAGTAATCAGCTGTCCTCCAAAACTGTGTTAGGATGATCACCGCCATCTCAACCAGTTCATTGCCCATGCGGCTCTTGACCTAGTAGATGAGAACATGTGGCTTTCTAACAACATGTATCTGAAGACTGTGGACAAGTTTAATGAATGGTTTGTTTCTGCTTTTGTCACAGCTGGACATATCCTTTCTTCCCTCTTCTCTCCCCCTGTAGTTACGTAGTTTTTTGATGGAAGTGAAAAATAAGATGCAGTGGTTTGGGAACAGGTTTCTCTGCTAGCTTCAGCTATTTTTCTTAGAGTGGTACCAACTTTAGGAGGAAGTAAGTTGTTAGGCACAGATGTTATTGCAGATTGGGCCTGATGAGAAGATCTTTCCTTTTTTGAGGAACTGAAATAATGAAATATGAGGATCATATGAAGAAGAGAAAAGAGGAATGAGAGGGGAATGGTATGAGAGGGTTTGTGTGAACTTTTCTTTTACTTCTGTCCCTTTGATAGCTCTGGAGAGGAGAAGCAGGGATAAACATGCTTGGAGTAAATCATCTGTATTTTGAAAATACAAATATCAAAGTTTGGTCTCATGAAAATGTAATCCTAAAGGTGTTCGTTGTGAAACTTTTTTTTTATTTTTTTATTTTTTATTTATAGCAAGTAATGCTGAATGTCATTATCATTTCAGGGATGTGGGGCAGAAGTTGCTGAGATCATTCCAATTCAGTGTAGTCTATCTTTAAAAATAAGCTTGAGTGCAGAGGCAATTCCTTTTGTTTTGAAATACAGGATTTTTTTAAACATAAGTGGAAACATAATACTTTCTAAATTTCAGTGCTTCAGGTATTAAGTTATTTCTCCCACAGAGTCACTGCTATTTCATGTACAGCTAAATATTTTACATATGCACAGAATTAGGGGTAAATGTTTATCTCAAAGATGGATTAAATTTTGTCTTTTTATTTGTAAAATTACTTGGAGGAATGCTGATAAATGTTAAATTTTCCTTAATGACTTCACATATGAGATTTATAATGCTTCATGATGTAAGACAAGAAGATGGAATAAAGAACTTCTTTAATGATGTCTATGACTTATATATAAAGGTAAGAACCAACTTCTTATGAACTCAAGGTAAAGTTTTTAAGTGTGTTCTGTTGTACATGCTTAAACATGTATATATTACCATGTATTTTTATGCTAGCCAGTGCAAGAAGCACTCATCCTGTTACAGAAGCTACAGTTGATAATGTGTGACATCCTGTAATACTACTTAGCAGAGTAAATTTTTCTAAATTGTTTATAAATTATGCCACTTCAGATTTTCATTATTTCACTTTAGTGATTTTGGGCAGTATTTTATCACTTATAAGGAAGGCTAAAATACATCTGTCTTGAGTAGGAGTAACCCATGTTCTCACAACCAGGATGTGTTTCCATTGGATGAAGCACCTGCAAACATTGATTTCAAGATGGTCATCTCAGCTTCCTACCAAGTCTTAACAGTGAAGTTTCCACCAATGTCATGATTGATTATTTCTTAGGATCTTTTACTAATGGGTGATTTTTAACATACATGGGGAGAATACAAGGGCAAGTGATTTGAAAGACAGGATTTGTGTGTTCTGTGCTCCAAAATGGCACTAGCTTGCCAGAAAACTACTACTAGTTGTCAATGAAAATGGTTTTTTTTGTTGTTTTTTTCTCCCAGTTCTGGACATTGTATACTTACAAATTTTTCTTCTTTCCTCAGTTTGCGATGAATCCATTTTATGAACCTAATTCTCCTATTCGATCAAGTGCCTTTGAAAGGAAAGTGCAGTTCCTTGGGAAGAAACACCTTTTAGGCTGAATAAATAACTTCCCTAAGTGAGTGTGTTTTTTTGTACCCTTCTGGTTATTTGAACTTTTGGTTTAGTTCTTTTGGTTACTTTTGGTTAGTTCTTAGAACATCTGACACTCGTCTTTCTTCAAAATTCAATTGTCCATCTTCAGAAGCTTTTTTTTTCTTCTGCTCATACTAATAAAAACTACCCAGCTTCTCTAGTTAAAGATGCATCTTAAGAAGTTTCCATTTAGACCTATGAAAATCATGTTTAAAAATGTCAGGATACATAGCTGTGCTTTGAGATGTGAGTGATGTCAATGAGTATTCCAAATTTAAGCCTCTTTATTTATTAGGGAGGAAGTAAACTGTAAACACAGAAAAATGCCTTTCATGCATGTGATTTATTATGAGCAGAAGGGAGAATTTTTGGCTCTTTGGCATAAATGCTTTATTTTGTATAAAGCTTTCTACTTGCAGTCTTTAGCTAGAAAACTTAATCTAAAGACCATTAGGCCAATTTTACTCCTTGTGGTGTTAAATCAGGTATATAACAATATTGTAATATATGTATATAAAGTGCTAAATGTAAAGGAATGCAAAGGGGTATGAGCAAATGCTCTGCAATGTTATCTTCAGTCAGCAAGTTCTAAAGCTTGAAATTGCAAATTACGAGATGTTCAGTGCAATCCTCATTAAGCTGCAATGTTGTATCAGTGAATAAAGTAGACTAAAACTCTTCTGTTTCCCCTTACTTTCAGTCTACTTCACACATAGAAAGAAATGCTAATGTACATGTTTTAAAACCACCTTTACCCTGAAATTAATTTGTTAAAGTTTCAAAAAAGCATTATTTGGCCTACCTGGCCACTACTCCATTATGAACTGTGGGTAGGGATTCTTTTTGCAAAACATGTCATCATTCCAAAATAATAATTTAGCAAATAAGCACCTAATATTTTAGTTCATTTTGCAATTTTTTGAGTAGTGTGGGGTTTTTTTTTTTCAGGAAAAATGTATAAACTCTTTTCTTGCACCTTTTGTTTGAATATCTGAAAAGTAATTTCAAAGGAAGTGGCAAGCTGTTCTAGAAAGTAATTTTCCTGTAGTCTGTATGATATAGGCAACTGTGTGAATAGGTGTTTCAAATGTATAGTTATTATTTCTTTGTAATGTATGCTTCCTGTTGTCACTGTAAAAATACACCATGATAAAAGCATCAAGTTAATATATTAAAATTCAGATGTTCACCTGAAATAAAATGTGATATGATGAGGTATGGATGCCTGTTGAGTGTATTTGAAATGATTTAGGAGAAAACTAGATGTCCATTGGCTGCCTTTATTGGAGGAATAAGAAGTGAAGATGAGAATACTTCTCTGGTGTATTTCTTAAAACTGCATCATCCAACACTTTAACAATGTCATCTAATTTCATGTAAATCAACTGATTCTGGGTAGATACATACATGGAATCAAGAGAAACACCTGAGATAAAACATTCTTATTTAGACAGTAAGAGCTATTTATTTGGAGCTCTTGTGCTGTTTCCTACCTCCTCCCCCATGATACTAACTAACTGTACCACTTAAAACATTAAATATATCAATTAAGTTTCCTAACCAGGAAGTATTAGCTGTTTAAAGTAAGAATTATCCAACTTGCAGAGATCTAAGAGTGAAATAAATATAAGAGAACAACCTTCTTTTAAGTCAGGTATCAACTGACTGATTGATTACTATCAGTATAGGTTCTCTGAGGAAATAATGTTACAGTCCTTCATGTAGTAATCAGAAGGTAAAAATAAAGGATTAGTGCTGAGTTTGTCACTCAAAAAATAGGATAATTGTACTCTTTGCTGCCACTACCGTAGGAACTTCTATAAAATAAAAGCATTTTATCCCTTATTTCCTAAGGCAGGTAGGGTAAGCGCTGTCTTTTCTCATTGTTTCCAACCCTTAACTCCTCTTATTCTGAACCTAGGAGCTGTGAAGAAGTAGGCAAGTCCTCTAAGCTTCAATGAAAACAGCTTGTCAGGGTCCATGGAGGTGGGAAATGGCAACTTATCTGTTAATCACTATAGTGTTTGTGGTGGGGAACTCCCTCTTAGGGAATTTCCAAGACACCAGATGGGATTTCTGTGATGCCCCAGTACACAGAGCATTTATATTGCATGTTTTTACTTTCTGCAGTAAGCTGAAGGATTCCTGTCTGGAAGCAGGAGGGGGAGGACTGAGTTGTAATCATAGCCACAACTAGCTGTAAAACATCTAGTTGCAGAAGAAATCAGGCAGTGCAGTGAGGGGCCAGGGCAGGACAGAGAACACTTGCGGAGGAGGTGGTAACACACCCCACCTCCAAGACGTCCACCTGTGAATTCAGATGAAGGCATATAGCCCTTGCAGGACAAGAAAGTAGGAGATAAACTGAATTGGGGAAGAAAGGAAACAAACCAACATGGGTTAAAGGGTCTAGAATCACACTGTAACATACAAAACACAAGCAAAATAGGGCAAGCTAAGATTATGGACCACCCTCAACAAAACTAAGCTGGAAGTAGGGTTCCTGCAAGGTTCAGTTATAAAGAACCTGTTAGTCCACTCAGAGCTGGATCAGTCTGAGGAACTGTGCAGCTGCTCAAGTGAAGAGCTAACTGGTTCACCATTTCTCAGAGCTCTTGGCATCTCTATGCAACATTATGTGCTACATGTGTGGTGTCCTACATGGTGTTTACCCTGCATGAAGTAGAGGCAGAAGGGCAGTTTCTTTCCCCAGCCCTAGTTTGGTTCTCTTTTAGTATGCAGAGCTTTCACCAATGTATTTGCATGACCGTGGTTTCTACTTTCAAGTTCCTTTCTTTGAACGTGTTCCATTGGGGCTGCTTCTGTCTGCAGCTCTTCAGGGACATCTGGCATTTTGCATACATAGCCTGGCTGAGGCTTCAGGGCCTTTCACACAAACCTAACCGCTGCTGACAAGACCCCCCCATGCTTGAGCTGCCTTAATTGCAGAATGGAAACATAAACCACCAGTGGCTGTCATCTCTATACTGAAGCACAGATGCTAAAGACTACAGGAGGTCATATTTAATATCAAGCATGATGAAGGGTGTTTCTTTTTTTTTGGGGGGGGGGGGGGGGGGGGGGGGAGGGGAGGAGGAGATTATCCCCACTGGCTTGTTATACCACTCCCTCCTCAAAAAACTTTTCCCAAGTACTCTGTCTCTTCTCAGATCAACTCCTGACCTCAACACAACTGCTGGATTTATTATATATCGCATGTAACCTCCCTTTCCTTGTGATTACAGCTGCATTGCAGTGGTTCCTACAGTAGATATAATAAATAAAGCTTAATACAATGCAGTGCGTTAAACCTACTTCTCCATTTACAGGGTTGGCAACTATGACGTTACATAGAAAGGAAACAAAGGGGAAAACACAGTCAAGGTCTGTTAAGCACAAAAAAGCCCCCTTGATCTTTGCAAGTTTTACAATAGTTCTCATCCTTAATCTGTTTCCTTTCAGCAGTCTCTGACTTGAGCTATATCTGCAGTACCCAAGTCATGCTGTCCTTACCTACTACTGCTTTTTGTTTGTTTGTTTAAATCTTACCTCTGTTAATCTAAATGTTAAAATCAGTATAACATAGGTTTACTTTACAGCAACAGTTACATTTTAGTAGCCCCCAAAACACGCAGTCAGTTTTTTAAGTTTTTTGTTACCTCACTGTAAGGTTAGAAAACTTTACAGCTAAGCTTCTTTCTTCACAGACCTTTCATTGACTGCAAATCTAAGATAAATATGACATAAGTAGCAGCTCAACCTACATTCGGCACTTAGGTATCTAAACCTTAAAAAACAACTCTGTTGCACTATATGCAAGTCTGCCAGAATGACACAGACTTAGAAAGTACCACGAGTCCAGAGATGTCACTTCTAAGCAGAAGGCAATCTACAGAACAAAACAGTCCGGGGTGGGTAAAGCTAAGAGTTCAACACAAGCAGGGCAGAAAAGTGTATTAAGAGCTACAAGAAGAAGAGTTTGTTGTGCAAGCTTCACTTTCACATTACACCTGGTACAGAGCTTGAACGATATGTTAAAAGCCTTGCAGTTCCTGTATGTTTAAGAAAGCTTTTCCCAATTTTGGAAAAGAAAGCTGCTCTACAGAATACAGAGTTTGCGCAGGTTAGTTACTCTCGCATGTCCTGTAGGCCTCTCGATTTCTGTTGGAAGGCTGCAGTGTGGATACAGGAATGCCCATTAGCCTCCGATTGCACACAGAAACAAGAGCCTGTTGGCAAGGCAGCTGTTCCGAGCACACTGTGACGCTACTGTTCTTTTGGGAGCCAGCTTGAAGCAACTTGTCATACAGGTAATTGTATCGCCAAGATGCAGTGCAGAGCCTCAGAAAGCTGCATGACTTTATAGAGAATGTCCATTAATTGTGCAACTTACCTGTAACAGGTAATCATCCTGTAACAGGTACAGAAATATTAAGACACTAATTTTTAATTTCAGATCCTACAATGGCAAATTAAATATGGATCAAGTTCAGCTCAACTGTTAATTACAGGTATTTACTTCCACTAGAGCTAAAATCTTCTCTAAGTTAAAAGCTTCCTGAGTTCTCTATGTATTGCCAAGCCTTTGTTTCACAGTACAGGGATCACCAATAAACACATTCATAGCTCAGGTGAACGGTACCAAGACGTTTGGAACTTATCCGTAAACTAGAAGTCCTCTTATAAATTCGTCACAACGTGGATCCCCCAAAGAGCTATTAAAAGCTTTCCAAATAAAGCATATATTTTCCTTAACTAAAATTGTTGCAACTTCAGTTATTGCAATTTTTGCCCGATTGATCAGAACCATGCTGGAATTGGACTTAAGGCAGAGAAACTTACTAACTTTAGAAGTCATGAATATTTTACATTAAACTCTGGAAAAATAAGTACAGCTTTTGAATAGTAAGTGAAGGGAAAACATATTAAATATGTAGTTTTTTTTTTTTTTTAAAGTCTACATAAAGTCTAATGATGTTAGGCAATTATAGAATACCTGAAAGAGGGTTATATTAACTTATAATTTTTAAAAAAAGTTAAGAGATTAAGTACAACTCACATTGAAAGGAATATAATGAGACTGAAATTTAATATCTAGCATTGTTACGAAACTTTTAGTGAAACAAAAATGGAACGTTGATTCCATAAAAATATATATACACATATATATAAAAGTTTCTTTGTATCTCAATTCCAGAACAATTTCTCCAAAGTAGTGCTTCTAGAACTTTCAAGTTTTAACTATATTCGAAGTATTTATCATTTGATTAACTTGGCAAATTACATTCTTATATTAGTATATTTTTACTTGACACCTTCCTAAACAAAAGATGTCACTAATTTACTATTGGGTCACTCATGAGTGGAAGTTTTTCTTACATTTCCCCTTCGCTCCCCCAAGAAAGCAGCAGAGTATTACAACTTCAATATTACAGTGGAACCCATTTGTTATTTTATCTACCACACCTTTTCAACCCTCTTTAGAGCAAGCTAGTGAAAAGTAATATGGCAAAAAAAAAAAAAAAAGTCAACAGCAAGATGAACTGGGTTTGGGTTTCCGATGAAGGTTTACTGTATCTGTTTGAATAAAGTGATCTGATCTATCTTCAGAGGCCAGAACTCTTCTAACAGCTTCTTCAAAGGCTGCTGCAACATTAGTAGCATCTTTTGCACTGGTTTCAAAATAGGGATGGTTGCCATTATTCCTGCACCAGGCTTGGGCTTCTTCTGCAGACACTTGCCTTTCATTAATATCAACTTTGTTGCCCAGTATCACAAATGGAAAACTTTCAGGCTCCTTGACATCTGCATAATAAATGAATTCTTTCTTCCAGTTGCTTAAGTTCTGGAAGCTTTGAGAGTCATCCACACTGAAAGTGAGTAGGCAACAGTCAGAACCTCTATAGAAAGGAGTCCGCAAGCTCCGAAAACGTTCTTGGCCGGCTGTGTCCCATATCTGCATTGTAACAAAGTGTCCATCCACCTCCAAATCTTTGTTCAAGAACTCCACACCTATTGTGTGAAACAGCTGTGCATCAAACTTGTTAGTGACGTATCTGTTCATGAGCGAGCTCTTCCCAACTCCGCCGTCTCCCAGCAGGATCACCTTAAGGAGCGAGGATTTTGTTGACATTGTTATGATAATGGACCCTCCTGGTTTTCTAGATCTGGAAAGATTAAGCAAGCTGTTAAAAAGCAGAGTTGTGGAAAAAATGGGTTGAAAAAATTAAACATATGTATGCACATGAATACCTAGGGGAGTATTAAGTCCACCAGAATCACCTGTCATATACAAAAGTAGGAGATCAATACTAAAAAAGGTGCAGGTATTTGTAGCAAGAGATCTCAACTACTGTTGGCATGGCAGTAGAAGCAGTACACGCGTGAATGCGGTTTACCTCATTACACCAATAATTTTACAATAATGCTGTAAAAATAGAAAACTAAAGGGTTTTAATTCTGGCATTAAATAAAGCATCATTTTGAAGAGCCCAAACTTAAGGCTTTTTTTTTTTTTTTTTTTTTTTGTAGTATGAGACATTCTTTCAGCATCTCACACCAAAAGATCTCAAATTAATACAGTCAAAGAAGGTTTCTGTTAAAATAGTGCCTATTTAAAATGGAAAGAGGTCATAAGCAGCCTGGTTCACCTCCCTCTCTGAAGGAAGGAATGTGGTTTTGCTAGTTGCCATTGGGGTTGCTGGTATATACATCACCTGCAGAGTATGGCTGTAGAATTAATACGCGATACAATCTGGCAATATGAGTCATATGACATGTGCTGCCTTAGAATCAAGGCTTCCATTAGAAACCAGGAATTTCAGGAATTCTTTCATCTCCAGCTTTCTATGTTTGACTATTTGTTACACACAGTCTACAGAAAGACGTTTAAGAGAAATGCTTTCAAAATAAAAAAAGTGATTGCTTCCAGTAAAAATCTGTTCATTCTCATACTGTGTAATTAAAAACAAGTGTACAAATAGTAAAGATTTCTAAACTTCACAACAGTATTGACAAAAATACTTTTAAAGAGCTACAGGGAGATTTTCAGTTACCTTTCACAGAGCTAAGGGATAACTGCTATGGCTCATTGTATGATCACATACCATTTTATATGTATGTGAAAAACATCCTTGGGAGTCACTGGGCTTTTGCATGTGTTTTCCAGGTTCATAACAGAAGTCTTTAAAATGCTCTGGTGTTCCCATTTATCTCTTATTTCCTATTATTAGTTAGGGAATAAATTATCTGGCCTACTCCCTTATATAATAACTACCTTTTAATAAATAATGTGTTTGTGAGAAGAGAGGCTAATGAGTATTTCACTCTTTTTTTCACTTCAGTAGATGGAAAAGATACCTTTTTCCCCTCTGTTCTTTTGAAATCACATCTTCCCAAAAAGACAAAACGTGAATAATTGATTTACGTTGTTCAGACTGGTACTATGTCCTTGTTTCTTTGGCTCCTACATTTTAAAGAACAGCACTTAGACTACAGTTAATATTATGAAGTTATCTATGAACATTTCAAACAAATAACAAGCAAGAAAACTGTGTTAAACAGTATCTAATATTTTTGTGCATCCAGAGCCTGACAAGTTAATTTACACAGTTGAAGCTATATGGAATTTACAGTGAGATAAAGTGTGGCAACTGAGCCACAAAAATATTTCCACTGGGCAGACAGTTACTCTGCAAATCAGCCACAAACCATTAAAGTGTGTTTCAGACCAGACCCAAACAGGTGCAATTTGAGCACAAAGGCCAGAGAAGCAGTCTCCACAGTTCTGATAAGCCAGTATCTCAACATGATGTTGCCAGCAACGTCACTTCCCAGTGTGTTCAGCAGAAACTGGCAGAGTTGCCCAGCACTTCATGTTTTTACAGTTTTTAGCTTGAAATCTGTAGGATGTTGGTTCAGTCTTTAGGCACATGCTTAGAAGCTTCAACTGAAGTTGCACAGAAGTGTATTTTAAAGGCAAACTTAAGTGTGCATGTTTTGAAGCAGCAAAGCCTTTGCATAACTACAAACAGCTTCTGTTGACCGTGTAACCAACTCAAATAGGTTTATTCATTTTTGGCCCCAGTGATGACATGATTCAGAATATCTGCAGGATCAGGATGTTAGTATCAGCACAACGGGGTGCTGCTGTACTCCTTTCCCCTCTGACAGCTTGAAAAAAGTTATTAAAAAAGATTTTTTGCAATTAGTTTCCTAAATTACAACCCCCTACCACTCTAACAAAGATCAATAAAATAAAACAATTAGGTCACCTGGAGGATTAGTGTTATTCCTCCAGTTACACACTAGGTTCATCCATATGATGTTTCAGGAAGGAACACCATATTTGTGAAAATTTATTACCTTAAGCCTTACTTTAAACCATCCTTGAGCATCTGAAAACTTGGTTTCCAATCTGTATCTCATTCTTTTAACCAATACTAGGAACTGCAAGACACTAGAGAATTATAGATAAGCATTTGTTCTAGTTATTTCTCATTGTGTGATAAATTAGCTTAATGCAAAAACAATTTAAAAATCTAAAAGCTAATGCACAAAGGAGACTGCAAATGGAAGATTATTTCTTCCTGCATTACCCTCTTATTCCAATATTTAACCCCAAACAAGAAATCCACAAGAGACAAGTAAAAAGCAGTACCACTAAGGTCCATTTTTATAATAATCCCTGAATTTCCAGTTTCTAAGGAATTGCACTCTTCGACCACTTACTTCAGTATCCATTAAAAACAGGTACAGTTTCTACTAAAGTATCATTTCTGTGATTATCATACACCACCAGTCAAGTAGTAATTTAATAGTCTCCTCACACAGTTTCCCTTTTAAATGGTGGATGGCAAGTCTGAAACATTTCTATTAGCAGTCTGAACATTTGATGGTGAAAATAAAAACAACACACCAGGTAACTACAGAAAAGTCAGTTCTCATTACAAAAAAAATCTTTGATTCCTGGCCCCTCAAAGCTTTACAGACAGTCTGAACAGGGCAAGTTTGCCTTTATTCTCCTGATTCCATGATTCAAAGCTGCCTGTTTGCTTGGAGGGCAATTACCTCTTTTAACATTCCAAGTACTGAAGCAACAGAAATAGATTGTGTAGAAAACCCACAGCAGCAACATGCAGATGTCGTCTAGGAATGTCTTTTTATTATTAGGAAAAAAAAATAGGACAACCTGTTTACAGAGTGTGAAAGGCTGCAGAAGGGCAGTTACCTGCTGAACTCGAGCTTTACCTGCACAAAGGCACTTTTAGCCTGTAGCACAATCACACTGTAGTTAGGCTGTCAGCAAGGCACAACCTCACATAAAACTATTACGTCAACAGAGCCAACTGAACCAACTTACAGTCCCACTTTTATCAGAGTGATACCAGGCACAGCAGTGCACCAGGAAAAAAAAAAAAAAAGGCAGAAATACACCACACAATATACCAGAAAAAGAGCAGCTTAATTTTTGCAGCAATTCAGTTTGTCTATTTTTTAATAAATTCCAGAACTAGCTTTGTTGCAACTGGACCACTGACTTTTCCCGCTATTAGTGATAAAAGGAAAGAGATGCAATCAACACTTCAAGTTTTCAGACTATTGCTTCTCCAGCTGTACCTACTTTCCACCTTTCTAGCTCAGAAACAGGCAAAAAAGACACACACACACAACACTAATTTGCTATTTTCAGCAAATGGTTGCTTACATAAACCACTTCTTATGTGAAATTAAGACAAAATTCAAAGGCTTCCTTCCAAATACATGGTGTGTGTCCTTGACGCCATTCTTGAAAGAATTTTCTTAAAACAATAAGCCCTCAGTACTCCAATACCTGCTTAAAACTAGAGTTCTTACAGAGGGCCAGTTGACCTATTCCAACTAATCATGCTTGTTTCACACTTTCAGTCTACAAGCCTGCTTAAAAAAAAAAAAAAAAGACCACCCTCTGTCAAAATACACAACCTTTTAACTGACAAGTACCCACAATCAGTTGTTCCATAACACTGACAGTGTTTCATAACCTCCTATTGATTCTCAAGTTTACACATCAAACACATGGTTATCAGTTTTGAAGCTTATTTGCAGTTTTGTTTACTAAGTCATCTTCAACTAGTAAGCCACAAGTATCAGATATTAATGGTTTTAAAAAAGCATGCCAATGCTTAAGGTACTTCTTCCTAAAAAAGAAGAAAAAAAAAAAATCTCCTGTGGCAGCAGTATCAATTTATTCTGTTTTAAATATTTTTTTTCTTAAGGCTAACTGAAGCATTTGACAATATTTATCATTTTAATACGGAAAAAAAAATAGTTGTTCTCTGTGGGTTGCTGGTTGCAGCAGCTCATCAGATATTGACACAACTTGCTTATCTGTAAAATATCTGGTAAAGAAAAAACACACACACAAGAACCAGTAGAGATGCAACAGCAGAGGCAGAACCCAGAACTATTCAAGTGTCGAAAACTACTTTCTGCTCAGTGTTTGTGTTTTAATAGTCCCTATCCCTCAATTGCTGTGTATAGCTGGTAAGCATATTTATACTTACCAGCTATATACAGCAAATCTGCAAGTTTCCATAAAGCTGAAAGGACAGAAGCAAATCTACCCCTTTCCCCTCTATTCAGGCCATTCACTATTGATACATTTAGAGGAAATCGGCCCATGAAGCACAACTGATACAAGTACTTAAGACATACGTTTCATCTTAAAATACACTGTTTTTTAATTAAAAGAGGGAACATGCAGAAATTAAGTCAAATGTTGTACAGGCTTACAACACACTCAAAAGCGCACAACAGCCTCAAAACTGACCCCCCCCCCCCCCATCCCGCACACACACACACAGGGTCTACATAACAGCTATTTATTAGGAACACTCCTTTACTAGTTGCCTGGCATGCTCATCAGTGGCGTTTTTCTCAGGAAACCTGGGAGCACTTCAGCCACGTATCTTGGCCTACTGATGTTCTAATAACTTGTAGGTATTCCTTCCTTTTCACATGGCTCTGGCACTGCACAACTGTGAAAGTAGTTTGGGTGCCAGACAGATTTTGATCAATGCAATGGCAGGTTATCACAGAGACAAAAAATGTTAAGTCCTACCTAGCTCCGTGCTCGAGTTCAAACTGCTGCCCTGCCATGACTCAGGGCTATGCAGCAAACAGAAGCCAAAAGCAGGAATTCCTTAAGTCTGTATAGCCCCTGGATTATGAAACTGTCCCAGTGTCCATGTGCAGATGGCTCCACTTAGCAAGGGCTCACACCTAACCACAAAATCCAATCAGCAAGACTTCTCAGTAGAAATACATGCATTTATATCTCTGCTAATGAGCCTTGCAGAGACCTGGCCTTCACATTCCCTATCTCGTTCTCTGCTTCCAAGCAGAATGAGCAAACTCTGCTGCTTATCTTTCCTTATTTAACTAGTTTAAGTGTCTCAGCAGCTTCCAGTTGAGCATCTCCCAACTGAAACTACTGTTTTCAGCCAACTCCAAAACATCATTAAGTGCTGCTGGTCTTGATCCAGCCTTTATTTCTAAGGATTTGTGGGTCCACATTAACTGACATTCTCCTTAAAAGCTGCTTTTCTGTTACTTCTTCCACTTGCTCAGTCTCATTAGTTATATCTGTTTGTGAGTGCTAACCTTTATCCCTTACACTAGTTACCTCTTTCCTCTGGGGGCTTTTAGCAGTAGAAGCCTGTGTTGGTTAGGCTGCATCACAAACTCACTCTCCTTCCAATATAGCCGATTTACCCTGCCTCACCCCCAAGAGAGCTACCAAGTCACTTGGTACTCCATCATAAGATGGTCTATGCCACACAGAACAAAGAAAGTAGAAAAGAAAAAGAGAAAAGAAGGCACAGAGTTTGTGTGTGTGTAAATAAAAGAAACTTAAAATATTTGACATGCTTTTTTGTTGGAAAATTCTTATTCATTGYGAATTCTTACTTTTCACAATGAATCCTTAAGACTGAAACTTACTTTTCACAATGAATAAGTTTCAGTCTTAAGGAGTTAAGAGATTTGTTTCCCACTATATTGCCTGAAGAAAAGAAAGAAAGAAAGAAAAGAATGGAAAAAAAAAAGGAATGAAACCAATAAGGACAGTGACAATTTCAGTGTTGTACAACAACTTAAGGAGTCAAGACAAATAAAAACACATGTTCATTTAATTGAACAGTACAGGGAGAAGAGGGGGCAGAATCCATGGCAGCTATCTGCAAGTAAATTAGGTGTTTGTTTCAAATGGAAAATAAAATATCCCCCAAGCCTATCCCCTCCTAGCCTATCCTACCTAAGTTAACCGAAGTCAATGCTCCCCACATGCATAGCCGCAGCCCATCTTGCCAGAGATGGCATTAAGATACTGTGAGAAAACTGATTTTAAAAGCTGTTGCTTCAGTAACAGTCTGTTTTTCATTAGCATAGTTGGCAGAAGTGACATTCAACACGAAACCTGGTACTGGCAGGCAAGACTGCACCGGGCAAACCCTCTGCTCTGGGCTCTGTGGCCCTCACGAAATAGAAGTTCGCCCGGGCASCGAGCCCGACCGGGAGCGCACCTGCGAGGGAGTCCCTGCAGCGCCCCGGGCACACGGAGGCGCTTCGGCAGCGGCGACGCCTCCAGCCCGCGGGATGGATGCTCGGGACGCAGGCGGAGCGGGGGCAGCGCTCACCGGAGCGGCCCAGCCGGAGCTGCCTCCCCGGCCAGGCACCGCTCGCCGGTCACGGGATCCCCGATCACGCCACCCCGCCCCGGCGCCGCGCACCGGCTCCGCCGAGCGCCCGCCGCCCGCGCAACTGCCACCGCCGCCCGCGCAACGGCCACCGCCGCCCGCGGGGCAACCGCCGCGGGGAGGAGGGGAAACGCGGCACCAGCCGCTTCTTGCGTGCCGCGGGGCAGGAGCGCCGCGCCGCTATCCCGGGACACCGGCCCAGCCGCTCCCCGCGCCTGCCGATGGGAAGGAAGAGGAGGAGACAGAGGGGAAGGCAGTGATGGAGAGCGGCCCGACCCGGCCGCGCCGACTGATACCTGCCCGCGGGGTGGAGGCTGCCGCCGGTACCGAGCCGGGGCCGCGCCGCTGCCCGAAGCCGCTACCGGCCGCCGCGGAAGGAAGAAACAACATGGCGGAGCGGGCGGGGGGCGGGGTCACGTGGGCCGGGCCGCCCCTGCCGGCCGCCCCTGCCGGCCAGGGGGCGGGGCCAGGCGGGGGGCGGGGCCGTTGGCGAGGGCCGTTGGGAGCTGTTGGTCGTGACGCGGGGGCCGGTCTTCTACAATGATTGTGCTTTAAAATTGTGCCTTTATATGTTAATGGCAGTTGAGAGTTGTTTCTCAATAGCAGTAGTATTAGTGGTGCACCGGGGCCCAGCGAGGCATATTCATGATTGCAGAGCAGGTCTGTTTTACTGCCACAGAGATTCAAATATATGCCTCAAGGAAAGGCCTAAATAAAACCTTGAAGGGTGCAATTCAAAAGGAGTATTTAGTCAGACACATTTTTTCTTTTTTTTTTGGTATTTGTTCAGAAAAGGTCCACCTGCCTGGAAGTTTCAGCAGTATTACAGGAAATAATTTTTAAAAGTCTACAAGGGCTGGTGATAGAGTATTTTCTGTATTCCTACAACACCTTGGAAGGTTAGGGCAAAATGTAAATATGACCAAAAAAAAAAAAAAAAAGCATATATGTAAAGAAGTTTCCACATCGTCCACATCATAGGGGATCATAGACTTAAATGGAAAACATTTGCTTAACATGCCACCCTCTAAGAGCCTCCACATGCAGTAAGGGAGATGCAGTTGGGCTGGATTTACCATTTGCACAATCAGCTCTTTGAATCAGATTTTACAATGTGGTTTAAGGAATGGAAGATGGGAGTTCAATATTATCAGAAGGAAATATCTCCTACTGACAAAAGGAGGGATTATTAAAAGGCAGTCCATGCTAGAGGCAGATCTGATGATGAGAGACCCATTCTTAAATAACAAAGCTGAACTTTRTAAGTTTTACAGTGCTTTTTTTCCTGGGATCAGCATTGATGCAGTCCTGAAGTATAATACGCGGAAGTGCTGGGGGAAGAAAACAGCATACTTAAACACCAATTCTAAGATGAAAGTTACAATCATTATGATATTTTGATGTCATTGAAAAGAAACCCAAAACCTGATTTCCTTCACGTTCCCCTTTTTACTGGATGCAGGGCCCCAGCCTGCTCCGTCACCCCAGGCTGCCGGCCACCTCTCCATGCCGAGCTGCGCCTGCATCGGGAAGCTCATTTTGGACCTTGAGGATTTTATTTACCCAGGGGTAGCCATGAATAGGTGATTGTTTTGCTCTCATATGGGCTAGCAAGTGGCTCAGAGTATCATCCCCATGTCAAATAAAGAACATTTTTTCCCCGTGTGTGTAAGAGAAGGTTCTGTATCAGCAGAGCTTGTGAATAATGCTTTTTACCATCCGTAGTTGGCAGGGAGACCTTGCTCCATCCTGGCAAGGGAGGACATGGCCTCAATAAAACATAACTTTGTCACCTCCTGGCTGAGTTACAGCAGTACAAAATAAGGGGATATGAAGTCATCTGCCTGTGTTGCTCTGCTAATACCAGAATACAGCAAGCAAGTCCCCAAGCAATCCAAGAAATTATCMAAGTGCTCTTGTTTCTTATCCTCAGGCACTCAATGAACTGGGCCATTACATTAAAAAGACATCCTGAAGGACTGTGATTCAACAAATTTGCTTCTCAGCTGCAGCGTAATAGTGTTACCAGGTAAACTTTGTTCCCGAATAAAAAAAGTGTCTCCTTTACTTGTTTGTTTGAATAGATGCTGTTCTTGTCCTTAGTAAATAGCACAGTGGACCAGAACGAATACATTTTAAATAAACAATAAACAGAACAACTTTCCTTTTGGCTAGAAAAGGAAGAAAGATACAAACAACCAAAAGCAGCAGTAGAGTCCCCTGCAAGGCGCTAGAGTAAAGTAGTTGTGAGGGAGATGTAAGAGGCCCACAGCAGAACAGAAGACCAGCAGTGCGTCCTGGACCCAGGAGGAGTTTTGTTATGAATGTTAAGGAAGCAATATCAATTTATTTATTAATAAAATACTGTCAGCATAAAAATACATTAAAAATGGGTATGATTGTGAATTTACCTTCAATCATCCTAAACCACATATGAAATGTCTTGCAGCTGCAGGCTGTTTTGAGTACAATCTGCATGTGAACCCTCCCTGCTAAATCACAGGCTCCGGGATGAAGGTGTGTGCAAGTTTATTGCCAATTTTGGGAAAACCCAAGTGAAGTCCAAGAGAGACTTAAGCCTCACCCTGCTTGGAGTATCTCCAATGTCACGGTGCTGCTTGGTGAAGCTGTACCACAGGCAGGCTGAACATCACACACACACAAAAAAAMCCCCTCTGCTTAAAGAATTTGTTTCCCATCCCAAGTCTTCCACAACACAAGAATAATCTATTTTTTGAAAGCTTTCCCTGTATTTTYGCTCCTGGACTCTGGCATTTCCTGTATTGCAGTTACCCAGGCCCACGTGCACACTGTGTAGTTGCAAGGTGACACATTACAGCCACTCTGAGCCAAGGCACACAGTCTTACCCAGCCCAACACTGCAGGCCTGCTGAGTGATACCATCTAGGTAGGCACAACACAGCAGAACTGCGGCCAGTCCTCTGCAGTCCTTTGCAGAGCGGAACTGAGGCCGTGCCTTTTTAAATAACAGCAGCAAGTCTATAGGATGTGGATGACTGCATCCCATACTCAGCCCTGCACCACCTGCAGGGCAGTGGTGTAGGGCAGTGACACGACTGGTGACATCTGCTTTCCAGGAAACAGTCCTAGATGCAAACACARATGGAAAAACGGCTACACAGGTGAGGAACTGAGTTAGGTGAAGGTGACAGCATCAGATACAGTGATTGAGAAGCTAATGCAGTAACTTATGGTTTCACATATGGTTTTACCAACTGTTAGATGAGGCTGCAAGCAGCACATGTGTAAATATGAACTACATACAAGGAGAGGCTGAATCTGGATAAGTTTCTTCACCACCCTAGACCTGACTAAGCCTGGTTTCATATACGTTTGGGGCCCAGCCACACTTGCTACAACATCCCGTCACTCCTCCCCTCTCTGTCCAATTCATTCTGATAAATTAATCTCTGCCACTATCCCAAGATCTCTTCCCTCTCCCAAACTACTCTCTGGGCAAGAAGCAGCATATTCTGTGCCTGGTTTTAAGGTAGTACCAACAACCAGAAACTATTTGTGTGTGGACTAGAGGTCAGCAGCTCTAATAGAACATGCAGCTCTAAGGTCTGTTTCTAAGAGCATAAATTCCTTTTGTTTTGCTGTCATGATTCCTGAATTCCACCGCATTTACAGAACTATCCATCTTTTAACATGTCATTGCCAGAAGACATGTTAGTTAGAAAGAGCTCTCAGGTTCAACTGTTATTGGGAAGGAAGGCAATGGAGGMACGCCTGCTCATGGCTCACTACTATAGGAATCTACTTCAAAAAATCCAAACTGAGAACTGCAAGACTATTGAGAACTTGTGGCAAGGGCACTAGCTGCTGTCAGCTCCAAATGGATGAAAAGAAGCTTGAAGGACACTTGCACAGAGGGCATCGGTTACAAGAGCTGACTCTGCAGTTACCAGCAATTGTTGCTGGCCCACAGAAAGCAGCTGCAGTTGTTAGTATTGTTGGTACACTGTTATTCCCAGTATTGGGAGAAAGGCCACCTGAAGGGACAGGAAAGCAAAGGCGCTTGCTGCTGCAGCAGGTACAGGGCACTGAGATCAGCACCGAGTCAAACAGGCCCCACGATCTGCAAGATTTCAACACAGCCACTGTTTACTCTTAAACCGCTCTGCAGAAAGCCTCGGCCATGCTGCAGGGCACAGCTTAACATTACATGTTTAGTGATGGGCAGTTTAAAAGAAAATGATGTTTCACATTATGTTACACCTATAGTCAGTATTAGGGCCAATGATTTTACTGAATATATAAATTCCGTCTCTTAAAAAGGGCTGCCCATGACTTTTAACATTTCTCTTCTCTAGGATGAAACGTGGTTGAGCTCTATGCTACCGCATCGGCTTTACAGTTGTCCACAGACAGAAATTCCGAGCATCTGCTGTTCACAGTCAACATAAAGTATCTTGCTACTCTGTGTTCTTATATAGCACTGTAAAGTAGCAAAGAGACAGAACAGCACTGATTTCTGTGCTTTCTGAGAACCATTAAAATGTTTATTTTCTTATGGTTTCATTGAAAACTAAATGCAGAATTTTACATGTGTTCCTACATAGGTAAGTAATTTCACATAAAGGAATCCTTACAGTCCTTTCATGTCAATATCAATTTCAACACGTAGGTCAGACATGAACTGACTGGTTATATCTTTGAATACTAAGGGTCTGTCCTAATGTTTCGATACTTGTTTTACAGCAGGTCAATTCAACTGAAATATTTAATTTCCACACGATAAAATCTGAGCAATGCCACAGCGAATGACTTTGCTGAAGGCACTCATGCTGTCAACTTCAAAGAATGAGATTTTTTTGTGTTTTTATCAGTAGAATAATAGTAAGTACCACTTGTAAGTGATAATAACGGTAAGTCACAGTAAGTTCCACAGAAAACAACGTAAGGACACAGAGTATGAACATATTCTTCTACAGACACAGCTGCATACAATGCCCTAATCAGGGTGCTTCCAGTAACAGAAAAAAATAGCTCCCTGTTACATACTCCATTCGAAGTATTCAGATGGCTGATTTCTGGATAACTTTAAGCTTCCAAGAAAAAAATAGGACTGATAGGTGGGTGAGAAGAACCTAATTAAGGGGGTAGAAATCTTTTGATAAATAAATAATTCTAGTATATACAGTCACTGTTGACTCTGTAACAATAATAATAATGATTTAGCCTATCAAGCCTATTCAACCTAATCTTAGCCTATTTCCCCATTTCTCCTCTCCCACACAGCTCCAAACACAGTTAAAACAGAAGTGCATTCTTGCTTTCATTTGCTAGCTGCCCTCTCCCATCCTTACACCTAATCTTTCATTGCTTTTCTGCTTTTAAATAAATTGGTTTGAGAGGTAATATCTATTTTACCCTTACTTGCAAAAAGTTATTTAATTAAGGAGAGAAGCCACGCTGAACATTCTGTAATGCATAAAGGTATGTGAACTACAGACTGTTAAAAATGTATTTTGTTTACTATAAACTCATAGTCTGGAAAAACACTTGCTGCAGATAACTAAAATTCCACGTAACCAATGGAAAGGGGGGGRAAAAAAACCAGAGTCTGCAGTATTTGGAACATTTGTAATGTATTTGCTAGTGCATATTCTGCTTTCTGATATCACATTAGCCATGGGGCACTTTTGTTTTCAAACACACTGACATACATATTTATTATATTAAAAAAAAAATCACAGAAGATTTGCTCYAATCACCTTTAAAAGTAGCATAGGTTCTTTTTTAATTGGCATCTTGCAATTTATTAATTGCAACATCTTCATAAGCACATCAATATAAACTGTATAAAGTTTCTACAGAGATGCCTTCTCACACCCATGTATTTTAACATTTTGCAGTTCTTGTTTCTCAGCACCTTGTTAGAAGCTGCAGTGTTACAGACAGACCCATCTGCTGTGATACCACTGTTCTCCACAGGCATTGCAAATAACGTAAGTCRCCATTTGCTCATCTGCATTTGTGTTTCGCACCCAGCCTGGAAGAAAGAGAGTTCCCCTGGCAATCATTGTGACGGTGCAATCAAATTTTTCACAGCGCCTGCATTTTATTTTGTGTGTCTGCATGCCCTTAACGGCTTGTGGAAGCTGATGTTCCTGAACAGAAGATTCCGTGTACAGGGCCCGGAGCTGTTTCAGTTCATCACTGGCCATTTCCATCACTGTCATCTCAGCAAAGGCCTTTGGACTCAAAGACCCTGAAGAGAGATTATGCTTTAAATGGCAATTTTTAGGGTTCTTCAAGTTAGAGATTTTGCTTCTGATGCAATTTTTATATTTCTTGGCATTTTTGGCATGAAGAGCAAATACATGCTCTTCAATTTCTTTTGACAGCTCTAACCATTTATGGGTTTCTTCTTTGTCTTCAGCAGAAGCAGTCAAAGCTTTATAGAGAAGATCTGTGCACTGACGTCTCAGAGCTTTCGTGTGATCCAGCTGCAAGCCTGCTTCACCAACAAGAGGCTTTGAACATGCATTACTTGTAGGTCGCTCTACAGAAGGAGAAAGCCAATGGTCCTCACTGCTTTCTGGGTCATCAGATACCACATTTCTGACAACACTTTGTGATGGGACCAAAACTGTAGARCTAGTGCTATCTGATACCTCCTGCTGACCTGCTCCATCCAACAGTGACCGTTCTTTGGGAATCACGCAGAGATGCTCACTTTCTTCTTCCAGATGCASAGAATCTGTCTCCTTACCTTGCCCTGAGAGAATATGTTTTTTCTTGTAAAGTGCTTTCCACCTAGATAACAAACCCTTTGCTCTCTTTTTCAGCACTGCTGAAGGGCAGCTCTTCAGTACTCTGTATATAGCCTTGGCAGCTCCTGTCCCCTGTAGATATTCCATAGTCATATCAATACCTTCTAGCACTTCTAGATGATTTTCAATATCCTGGAAATTATTCTCAGACAGTAACTTTTCAATGCAATGGGCACTGCACACAATATTCTTCTGGTCAGACATTTTTAAACCTGAAAGTCAAAAAAGGTTTTATAATATTTACTATAGTCATGTCATCTRTTAATTCTTCTTTATTATTATTATTTTCACAAGGTTTACTTTTGGTTGTGCACTGCTTTACACTATTTCATTTATATATATCATTTTTTACATAGTTTTTCATGAAACTATGTATAGCGGGCTTGCCAAAACAAAACACAGAACAGACTGAATCCTAGAAGTGTGTAAGTGGGCAAGTAAGTTTAACCTGTGCAAAGAAAATACTGGCTGGACAAAGAAGAGCCGAGGTACTTCTGCCAGCACCGTGTTAACAATTTAAGAAGTAGGGCATGACACTAGTTTTTAAGGAAAAGCTTAGTTTTTTGCCAAAAAAAAAAAAAACAGAGTAGCAAAGACACTGCTTGTTCTATCTTTTTTCCARTGCACATACATCAACTTAGAAATACACAAGTAGATTCTCAAGTACTCCAAGAACACAGGAAACCACATAACCAGTCTGCCAGCTTCTGAGCCTAGAGAGAGATTTTACACAATGCTTTGTACATTAGATGACTCCAGATCCACTGGACTGAGTTATGAAATTCAACATTTTTCACCAAAAGATCCAGATAAACACTTAATGTTTAATATTTTTGAAAACTAGATATTGCTAGCAAATTACACCTTCTGCAAAAAAAAAGGGGGGGGGGGGAGTGAAACATAACTCCTCATCACAGATAACCTGTAGATCATAACTTAGGGTTTTAAAATATTGGTGTCAAACTCAATAAGTGCTGTTTTCAGTGTATCGGTGTATTTCTCCATTACACAGATTTATGCAGCCTAATAGAAAATTCCTGGGATCTACTGCTCTAACACTTTTTGAATAACATAACAATATCCTCAGGCTGTTGCATACACTCTGCACTAGCTTTCTGATAATCTTTAAGGGCAGGTTTTTAAGTGTATACTGCATTTATTTAATCTGAAAGTTGCAGAGACATGGAAATTTACTGCAAGACCCAAATCCAGTTGCTGCTTATCCTTCTGGAATGCATATGCAATCGCTTTCAGAAAAAGYGACCTATGACTCAACCTGTGAACCCTTATTTAAATAAATATCTTTTCCCATTCTTCACAGCTTTCAAGCAACTGATTAAAAATTAACTCAGTTGAAGTCTCAATGATAAAGAATATCAGAAAGGGAAAGAAAGGTGAGTCCAGAAAATCCATACTATAAAAGTGATTTTTTTTCCTGTTTTTCTTCCCAAATCAATCTGGTCCTAACCTAGCAGGATTTTTTTATTTTATTTTATTTTTCAAAAATTCAATAAATGTTGAGATGCTTGGCTATCTGTGCTTTGGGTTTTGTTTTGCTTTGCTTACTAAACCCACCACAAGTTTCCATTGGATTTCTCATAACATACTCCTTAGTTAAAAATCAAAGCTGTATGTTTTACAAGCCTAAATTAAAGAATAACAGTAATATGTAGCTATTTTTTTTTCTTTAAACAAAATTGCCTCTTGTTGTCACTGCTCTGTATGATACAGAATAACATTCTTTCCCTTGACCAATAAACTAGAAGTCATTTTTTTTCTGTCAGTAAACATGAAACAACTGTTGACATATGAAGAAATTATCTATGGACAACAACAACTACTCATAAAACATAAAAGGTTTTAAAAAATTTGAACATTCACATATTAGTTCATATTAACACAGCAGATGAAATTAATGGATTTTTTCATTTCAGACTTCTCCTCAAGCCTTTGTTATTTTAATAGAATAAATATTTAACAGCAAATGCAAGAATGGCATCTCATCCAAAAATACCTATTTAAGGGGAATTTATCAGGCATCTGCTGAAGATGCCAGAGTTGTCAGGCCTTTGAAGTAATTTCTACATATCACCACATCTTGATCAAAAGTATTTCTTTAGTTAATAAACAACAAGTAGCTGAATACATTTTCCTGGAAACTCCAGTGCTGAGGTTGAGGGCTACTCTGCAGCCGCTTTAAGCAAGCAACTCACTGATCCYGAGACAAAACAGACGTTTTGCTCCTTACATGCCCTATGATTCTCCAGAACACCTCAACCTTCCCCTTGTTATGCAAGGGATTGTGTGTTATTCCCCTTCCAATCGGTTCCCTTTTCAGCTGCTATCCCGGAGATGAATCAGGCTGGTAACCCTTTAACCAAGGTCTGTGACGCCACCCTTCCCATYGCTTGCTCTGCCCTGATGTTACAGTTTGCTAAGCAGGGCAGCATGGGGACACCTACAAACTGCTACCGACGACTTCTGTGAATTCTTAAAGACTAAAGATGTTTCCTTACACACTTATGAAGTGCCTCATACTCCTCATATACCTCACACTTATGAAGAACATTCTGTAGTAACATTCTTAAGGCCCCCCCCCCCATGTATTCTAAGTGGTGTTAAACGAGAAGGGGAATTTTAGCATGCAGGTTTTCATAGCTTTAATAACACTTCTTTTGTTGCCTTTTTTAAAAGCTGTGCGACATAAAAGAAAAAAAATCTTCCACATAGGACAATGCTCAAATTTATACACAAAAAAAGAAAGATTCTTCTGTTTGCCAAGAGGAATTGAATACAGAATTGATAGTGTGCTGTGAGTCTGTGTTCTTCTTTTCACAGGATTTAATCTTTTCAATTTATAGACAAAAATAGTGTTTTGCTGAAGTTGCATAAACCCTGACTCTCCTCCAGAAGCAACCAACTACAGACTGACACAGGGACTGCTACACGCACATGTACATTTAAAAGAACTTGTAAGCCCGTGCCTTAAAGTTTCCATGATGAAATCTCCTGAAAACAGGTAGGAAAGTATGAGAGGTATGAGAGAGATCGGAGATAGGTCTGCCTAACTGGTACACTCTGCTGCTTTCAGTGACTGCAAGCCCAACTCATTCGCTCTGTGCCTGAAACAGGTCCAAACYTTAGAGAGGGCCTCAGAGGTCTGAAGAAGAAACAAGAGAGAGAAGGAGAAAAGATGCATGCAGAGAGGGAGAGGAGACCTATATGTGATTCTGTTTCTGCAATGCGGAACCACAGACCAACCCAACCTCAACAGTGATGCCATCTGCTTCACACTTACCCTGTCTTTAAACAGCTCATTCCTGTCTGACATTTTCGAAATCTTGCGAGGCCTCAGTAATGGGTATTGTGGAAACAGATCTACTGTTCAGATACAGTTACAAACAGAAAAAAAAAAAAAAAAAAAAAAAAAAAAAACCAGCATGTATCTGACAAATATGTTAGCTGAACCCTACGCATCATCGTACCAAAATGTATGTACAATTGTATCCTCACTTTTACCGGACGAACACAGAGAGTCTGAGAGTGGAAAGAGATGTTTTCCTATGAAGGGTGGCCTTAATTAACAGAGAGGTTCCCTGTCCCCCAGACACTAAGTGGCTTCTGTTAGAAGATGATCATCTGGCATTTCCTGGCTTTCATGCCGTTAGGGCAGAGGTAGTGCAGCTGTCACATGCCTAAGCAAAAAGCTATTGCCCTGGGCCTTAAGATCAGCTCTGTTCTTTCTAATACACTGCATTCTAAATATGTATTTTTCTTCAGCTCTAGTGCACGTGTGCTCTCTCCCTATAAATATAGGTACTGTGTTACACTTAATAGACTAGAAAATAGTTTACTTATCCCAATGAAGTCATGAACTCTTAGTATTTATTACACATTTTGTAGGTTATAAAGGATACATATATAGTCTTAAAGCCTATATATATATATATATATATATATCTCCTTACGCACCCATGTGGATTTATAGTGAGGTAGAGATGGAAGCCACAGCTCAGCCCAGCCTGTCCTGGACAGCTGTCGTGCTACAAAACTTCCTGCCCTCCCACTTACTGCATGGACATGCAAAGAAATTACTACTCACCAAGGGCCTGGGGGAGGGCAATTTGTCCATGTATTCCATTTTACCCCATGGCAAGGGCGAGGTGTGCTGATCCTCTGGCTCTGAGGATGAGGCTGCACTGAGCTTCCTCTCTAGTCCTGCAGGGTGAGGAGCTGTGCACAGAAAACGGAGCACCACGTAAGGAAACCCTGTGGCCAGCACGATTCCTCCARCCCTTACAGGCAACAGCACCACTCAGAGCTGGGCTGACGAGCACAGCAGCCCACACACCAGCAACTGCAGACCCTCAGCTACATATTCTGACTGCTGCACACAGGTACACCTCATGGCCCCACCACTGGATGCATTTCTTTTTCCCCTAACAAGCAAACTGTTATTTTAATCCCCTAGCAAATTATTACAAACTGTTCTGCACTGGATTAAATGTAGCATATACAATCTTCTTTAGTATCCTTTTTCACGYATACACTAAAGAGCAATTGAAAAACAGAATGTGGTCACTGAACTAGGAACAATGTTTCAAAAATAATTTTAGTAATTCAATCCGTAAGCATCTCACATTTAAGGCTGTGGAAGTTCTTCTTAGGAAAAACTCCGGGAACAAAGTTGGAATGAAGAAGAAGCAGGGGAAAGCCTTAAAGCTTTCTGAAGAGTTTCACAGAAAGATAGTTGAAGCTTTAAAAGATTAAATGTTACCACTTGAGGGAGCTGTAATATAGCAAAGCCATGGAATCTTGCATAAAAGTGCATATTAAGGAACTACAGGCTATTAAGGAAGAGAGAAAACTATTTCCAAAATTCCACAGGAACTTAAGGAAAAAAATTCTTAACTGTGAGGGTGACARWGCACTGGAACAGGCTGCCCAGAGAGGTTGTGGAGTCTCCTTCTCTGGAGATCTTGAAAACCCRCTTGGATGCCGCCCTGTGCCACGTGCTCTAGGTGACCCTGCGTGTGCAGGGGGGTTGGACTSGATGATCTCTAGAGGTCCCTTCCACCCTTAAGGATTCTGTGATTCCCTCTCTAGGACCTCTAAGATTGGCTATGGAGACTCCATACAATTTTCAGGCACCTGTCTGCCTGCAATTGGGTGAGGTCCCCTTATGTCCAAAGGTGCTGGTACACAGACAGGAGGGAAGGTGCTCACCAGACCCCACCAGGGGCCTGCACCTTGCTCTTTCATTCAAAAATCACTGCCTGATTTAGTCCTATCTGGCAGCTGCTGAACAAGCACGGGTAAAACTGACTGAATCACGTACTGCAGGCCTCTTTGGTATCTGCTGCCTTGCTAGTTGAATGGACAAGAAATAGAAGAAAAAGGTGAGTATCCATGTTCTTTCCTTGAGGTTATAAAACACATCCGACATTTTCATTATTGCTTACCTACAGAAACAAGTAGAAACAACAGTTGAACAGTCTCTACGTCTCCTGCAACTACACATGGCATTTCCATCCTGCTTTACAAAGACTGACCCACATTTATAATGAGATCCTTTAACATTGTGCTGATGGSATATCTCCTTGCCCAATCTTCAGGACTTTGCACACTGTCTGCATGCTATAGCAAGTGACTTGTATGTACAAGAATAAGCAATGGTGAACAATCAAAAGGTTGCAAGCCAGTTTGCTGCTAAAGAAAAAAAAAAAGAGAAAACGATCAAGTTGCTACAGATTTGATAGGACTCTCATACTGTAATAATACAAAATTTAGATGATTCGAATGAATAAAAGGACCAAAAAGAATTAAAAAAAAAAAACAACCCAAGTAATTTCCCGCTAACTGCAAAGGCAATCCTTAAAAAAAAAAGTGTCTTCTGCAAACTAATTTGGGGTGATGTCCTGCCTCAGCTATATGCCTGAAACAGTTTAAAGCCTCAGCTTAGTTAGCTCAGCCTTAGCACAGCTAACTCCCAGATATTCCAAGACAAATATAAAGCATCTGAGTGAAGTGTGTATGAATTCCTGGAAGTGAAAAGCTAGCTGAGCTCCAATTCTTTTCTCCCTCTCCCTAATCTGAGATATAAATGTTTTTTCCCCCAAGAAGTTCTATGTAATCAGAAGAGGCCCAGATCAGAGGCAAGAGGCTGAATTCTCCTAAAGGTGCAACAAAATACCACAAAACTCTACAATGGACATGGTGTTATAGTTCAGACACTGTAGCAGAGAGCTGGAAAGCACCGTACTACTTGCTGTGGGCAACCTACATTCCATATAAACAAGGAAAATGAACTCGCAGACCAAGAGGAAAGCCAGTCTCCAGACCTAAAATACATTCCTTCATTCCACCTACAGTGGGAGAGCAGATATTAAAGATGTCCCCAGTAAATCACTTTTCCAGGCTTTTATTTAATCTTAGCTAAAACCAGATCTCTTCCTGTTTCTCACCAGGACTGCTCCCCTCACGGAGACTTTTGAACTTTAGGGCGTTTCAACTTCCAATAAAGTCACATGAATATAATTGAGTCAATACAATAACAGCTGAGATACTCCAACAGTGTCCCTGCCAGATGTCTGTAACCACTGGACACCTCATGGAGCAGAAGAGTCACCYCTTGGTCACAGATGTGGAAGGAGCAGCGCACGTGATCACAGAATTACAGCAGAACCACTGCAGGAATCTCTCCTTCACCTACACAACTCTGTAGGCAAAATGAGTCTTCCCTGTCTCTGAACACAACAGAGCTGAATCGCAGTGAACCAAGAAAATTACATTAAAATACCATGTAAAGAAACATGTTTAAAAACATAAGGAAAACAGCATGTGAATAATGAGACTTGAGGCAATAGATTTCACTCGTGTGAGGAAGTACACAAAAAAAGCTATTTTTTATCCTGATTTGAAACTATTCTTCCCAAGAATCTGCATTCTTAATTAGAAAAAGAAAAATTACAATTGACTGCTTAATGAAGTTATTAGGGCTTCAGGGATTAGGCCCAACGTAGAGCTACCTGCACTTTTTTTTTTTTTTTTTTGGTCTGTTAAGATCACACCAACATACATATATACATGTGTGTGTGTATGTATATATATACATATAAAAAAAWAAATACATATGCTGTCGCTGTTTGGTCACTGGGGGTTCAGGGATGTGCTAGATCCGAAGGTCAAGCAGAGGCTCTGGCTCGCATGGAACCTGGGAGCTGCTCTGCCTGCCCAGCCTGACTGTGGGTACCGCAATGCTGGGTGCTGGGCATCAGCAGCCRGGCAGAAATCTAACCGCAAATTAGCCTGCAATCGCTCCCATAAAAATACATGGGCCAGCAAATGCTTTTAATTGCGTGTCAACATGCCACGCAGTAGTCTGCAGAGCCTGCTAAATCCAAGGGTTGTTTTGACAAGCTCGTCAATAGAACTCCCTCAGGCCTTTCCTCCTATGACTCTTAGGGCTCGTCCGGCGTAGGTCAGTACCACGGGCAGCTTTTTGCCCTCTCTTTAATTTCCTGGCACACTCAGGAGGGAAGAGAGCAGAGGCCTACGCAGCACCAGCTCCCCAGCAAGCTGCCATGGCACGATGCCATCCCTCAGCATTCGTCCCTGGTTCTGATCATGCTCTGCCCCCCGGTCCACAGCCACGCGTGTCACCCCACGGGAGAAACGGGACCTCGMGTCAATCCCCCGCCGGGGAAAGCAGCGGGGGCGGCTCCTGCCAGCGCCGATGGAGGGTGGGCGCCGGCGGCCATTTCGGGGCGCCGACACCGCGCCACGGGGGTGGAAGGGGCGAGGCGCCATTTCGCGGCGCGGCGGGGTCCTGGAACCCCCGCGGGACGCGCTCCCAGCGCCTGCAGATGGGAAAGGGAACGGGAGAAAGCCCCTATTCCTCTCTCCCGCTGCCCAGGACACACACACAACTCTACCCRCCGCCCCAGCCCGGCGCCGTTACCTCCGCACCAAGCCTCCACTCGACATGGCACCTCCCCCTTCTCCCCCGCCTCTTCCTGCCCCGCTGGGYAGCGGCCGCCATCTTGGCAGCGGGGAGGGCCCGGGCAGCTGCGGCGGCCCGGCGGCGTGTAAATGCCCTGCACTTGCGGAAAAAAATAGTTAATATTAAAAATTAACCTGGATGTAGCCGTGTTCCCTTTTAAGCAAACGCGGCTGTGGAAGGTAGAACACGTGAAGTAGGGTAGTCCGAATAAATGTCCTCTCTGAAGCTACCARAGATGTTCAGAGCCGCTGCCAACCTGCCCATGTTCCACATGCTGATGTGTTGCTGGTAGCATAACCAGGTTGTCTGTGCGATGACAAATTGAACCCCCAATATACGCAGTTAACTATTGTAAAAGTTACATGYGCATTTTACACAGGACATCCAAATTGCTAACCTGAACGATTAATGCATGTAATTGCTGTGGGGTTTTTTCTTAATCACATGGAAAAATCCCTGTCATTTTAAAAGACTACAACTTTAAATTACTAATAAGGTCTGTGGTGCCCTCTGCTGACAATGAAGGCTCCTACCTGAACTTTTCAAATTTTTTTCAATGTTGAATACCATATAAGACAGACATGCGTCTTTTCCCTTCATTTTTTCACATAGTAAACTTCACTAGTACTAACTACGAAGGAAAAAAATAGCATTGCTGCAAAAATGATATGAGCATAAGCAATTTATTAAATCAGTGTAATGAGCCACTGAATCAGTGTTTTTTGTTTCATACTATTATAATGCCTGGGGCTACAAGGAGTTTGAAGATATGGACTTTCTACGACTGCTGTAGTGGTTGAGTTATATATTGGTGAACCTCAAGTGACTGCTAGTTTGAAGTAATAGTTAACTCTTTGCACAATTTGTGTGCAGCAAGCTAGCAAATTCATCAGTGAGTGAACACTTGGTGCGATGGTTAGTGTTGTTACACACTGCTGCATGTTACAGGCAAACAGAGCCCACGGTTGAGATGTGGCTTCCTCTGTGCCTCATCTCTGTAGCCCGTGCAGCAACAAAGCGTGGGACATGACTGATCCCAAAGAGTCTGTAATTTTACGAGATAAGAGGAGACAGAGTTTGGGTGACTTTCTGGGCCTGCCTCGATAAAGCGCTAGGAGAACAGGTCCGAAGGATGATACTTTAGCAAGTAGCATAACATCCGATGGGCTATCTTGCACATATTTATGCTTTTCTGCAGCATGCATATGATTGTTTGCAAAGATAAAATGAGAGAGAAATTCAGAATTATGGACACCTTCTAGTACAGGCTCTGAAATATGACTTTTAATATTGTGTTTCCTGCCTAGGAAGAATTACATCATATCATACTTGAAAAATCTAGTAAGCCAGGAATGATTAAGAACAGTAGTGACTGATAAAGGAGGAGGGCCCCCAAACTGCTTTGTGTTAGGGAAAAGGTGTTGCTGGAATAGCAGAGCTAGAGGTGACAAGCAGAGACAGGTACAGCAAAGAAGCTGAAGGTGTGGGAGTGTAATAAATGTTTGTTCCCTAAAGTCAATCAAAACTAGGAAATAACGATTATAAGCAGGAATAGCTTACTTAGATTTACAAGCATGACTGACTTCTGGGGAATACCACGGAACTCGAAGATGCTGAGTCTACCATCCAAATCGAGGATTACCCAGATTGTTGATAACATTGGAAACAATCGAGGAACACTGGAAACAATCTAGGATCATTGAGACTGCTGATAACATTGGGATGCCGAGACTACTGATAACATCGAAATACCACAAAGATCACGGAAAGGAAGAAGGAAAGGACTAGATGGACTATATACTATAAATACTGAGCCCCAAGAGAGGAAAGATGGGGGCCTGAGAGGGATTGTCTCCAGGCTGCCCCAGCGCTGTTATTCTCTGTACCCAGCTTACTCAATAAACGGTAGATGAGAAAATTGGCTTGTCTCRTCTATAACAAGAAGACACCAAAGGAAACGCGGGACTGCACCAACCTTCCTCCCAGGACATCTTTCACTTTTCGAACACCCGGATCCATGTAGTTCTATGGATGTGAAAATAGGGATAAGCCTGACATTACGGTTAGGGTTAGGCTTCAGGAACGGGGAAGGCTGGAGGGCTTCCTGCTGTGGGGCTGCCAAGAGGAAACCAAAGGAAATGCCGGGCTGCACCAACCTTCCTGCCTGGACAGATTTCACTATTTGAACACCCGGAGCCATGTAGTTCTATTGACATGAAAATAGGGGTAAGCCTGACATTACGGTTAGGGTTAGCGTTAGGGTTCAGGAACGGGGAAGGCTGGAGGGCTTCCTGCTGTGGGGCTGCCAAGAGGACACAAAAGGAAACGCGGGGGTGCACCAACATTCCTCCCAGGACATCTTTCACTTTTAGAACACCAGGAGCCCTATAGTTGTAGTAAAGTGAAAATAGGGGTAAGCCTCACATTAGGGTTAGCTTTAGTGTTCAAGGAACTTGCAAGGCTTAGAGGGCTTCCTGCTGTGGGGCTGCCAAGAGAACACCAAAGGAAACGCGGAACTGCACCAACTTTCCTCCAAGAACAACTTTACCTTTTTAAACACCTGGAGCCCTATCGTTCTAGGGATGTGAATTTAAGGCTAAGCTTCATATTACAGTTAGTTTTAGGGTTAGGGTTGAGGAACAGGGAAGGCTTACAGGGCTTCCTGCAGTGGGGCTGTCAAGAGGACACCAAAGGATACACGGGGCTGCACCAACCTTCCTCCCAGGATATCTTTCACTTGTAAAACCCCCAGAGCCCTATCGATTCAGGAACGTGAAAATATGGATAAGCCTCGCATTAGAGTTAGTGTTAGGTTCAGGAACGGGGAAGGCTTAGAGGGCTTCCTGCTGTGGGGCTGCCAAGAGGACACCAAAGTAAACACGGGGCTGCACCAAACTTCCTCCCAGGATATCTTTCCCATTTTGAAAACCCAGAGCCATATCTTTGTAGGGGTGTGAAATTACGGGTAAGCCTCACATTAGGGTTAGGGTTAGGGTTGAGGAACGATGAAGGCTTAGAGGGCTTCCTGCTGTGGGGCTGCCATGAGGACACCAWAGGAAACGTGGGGTGGCACCATCACTCCTCCCAGGACATCTTTCACTTTTTAAACACCTGGATCCCTCCCGAACCTCCCGAAAATGGAGGCGTGAAAATAGGGGTAAGACTCACATTAGGGTTAGTGTTAGTGTTATTGTTATGGTTCAGGAACGGGTAAGGATTAGAGGGCTTCCTGCCGTCGGGCTCCCAAGAGGTCCCCTATTACCCCTATTTTACCTATTTTCCCTCTAATGCCCTACTATCCCTATTTTCAAGTCCCTACAACTGTAAGACTGCTGCTGTTTGAAAAGTGAAAGATATCCAAGCCTTCCCCGTTCCTCAAAGCTAACAATAACCCTAACCCTAACCTAACCCTAACGCTAATCCTAAGACTTCCCTAATCCTGAACCCTAAACCCAACTCTAATGTGAGGCTTACCCCTATTTTCACAACCATACAACGATAGGGCTCTGGGTATTCAAAATGGTAAAGATTTCCTGGGAGGAATATTGGTGCAGCCCCGCGTTTCCTTTGGTGTCCTCTTGGCAGCCCCACTGCAGGAAGCCCTCTAAGCCTTCCCCATTCCTCAACCCTAACCCTAAACCTAATGTGAGGTTTACCCCTATTTTGATGTCCATACAACGATAGGGCTCCGGGTGTTTAAAAAGTGAAAGATGTCCTGGGAGGAAGGTTGGTGCAGGCCCGTGTTTCCTTTGGCGATTTCTTGGCAGCCCCACAGCAGTAAGCCCTTTAAGCCTTCCCAGTTCCTAAACCCTAACCCTAACGCTAACTCTAAAGTGCGACTTACCCCTATTTTGACGTCCCTACAACGACAGGGCTCCAGGTGTTTAAAAAGTGAAAGATGTCCTGGGCGGAAGTTTGGTGCAGCTCCGCGTTTCATTTGGTGTCCTCTTGGCAGCCCCACAGCTGGAAACTCTCTAAGCCTTCCCTGTTCCTTAAACCTAACCCTAAGCCTAATGTGAGGATTACCCCTATTTTCACGTCCCCATAACTATCGGGCTCCAGGTATTCAAAAGGTGGAATATGTCCTGGAATGAAGGGTGGTGCAGCCCCGCATTTCCTTTGCTGTCCCCTTGGCAGCCCCACAGCAGGAGGACTTCTAAGCCTTACCCGTTCCTGAACCCTAACCATAACCCTAAGGTGAGGCTTACCCCTATATCCACTTCCCTACAATGACAGGGCTCTGGGTGTTCCAAAAGTGAAAGATGTCCTGGGAGGAATGTTGGTGCAGCCCGGAATTTCCTTTGGTGTCCCCTAGGCAGCCCAACAGCAGGAAGCCCCCTAAGCCTTCTTCATTCCTGAACCCTAATCCTAACCCTAATGTGAGGCTTATCCATATTTTCACGTTCCGAGAACGATAGAGCTCCAGGTGTTTAAAATTGAAAGATGTCCTTGGAGGAAGGTTGGTGCAGCCCCCRGTTTAAYTTGGTGTCCTSTTGGCAGCCCCACAGCAGGAAGCCCTCTAAGCCTTTCTCGTTCCTGAACCCTAACCCTAACCCTAATGTGAGGCTTACCCTTACTTTAACGTCCCCAGAATGATAGTGCTCCCSGTGTTTAAAAAGTGAAAGATGTCCTGGGAGGAAGGTTGGTTCMRCCCCGYGTTTCCTTTGGTGTCCTGTTGGCGGTCCCACAGCAGGAAGCCCTCTAAGCCTTCCATGTTCCTCATCCCTAACCCTAACGCTAACCCTAAAGTACAGCTTACCCTTGTTTTCACATCCCTAGAACTACAGGGTCCCGGTGTTTAAAAAGTGAAATATGTCCGGGTGGAAGGTTGGTGCAGCCTCGCGTTTCCTTTGGTGTCCTCTTGGCGGTCCCACAGCAGGAAGCCCTCTAATCCTTCCCCGTTCCGGAACCCTAACTGTAACCCTAATGTGAGGCCTACCCCTATATGCACTTCCCTACATTGATAGGGCCCCGCGTGTTGAAA